TCCCTCATGTCTGTGCAGTTACCTTTACTCAATTGTAATATCATTACATCTGATTCAAGCTTCTCCCTTTCAAAATGCAGGGTGAATTCCATCCAATTATGGTCACTTTCCCCTCAGAGTTCCTTCACCTTAAGTGGCCTAATCAAGTCTGCCTCACTACTCATCACCAAATCCAGAACTGCCTATTCTCAATGGACTCGACCACAAGCTGCACAAAAAATCCATCTCACAGACACTCCACGAATTCCTCCTCTTGGCATCCCAGTCCACCTGCATACTGAAGGTGTGTTCTCACCAATGCCCTGCCCAAGTGCATAAGACATCCTTGCTCTTCTATCTGAACCCTTTTGCTATGAAGGCTAACAATACTATTTGCCTGCAGCAGCTTGTGTACAGGACACCTAGGTCTCATTGCACCACATCTTTCCCCAATTCTTTCTCCATTCAGATAATAATCCACCTTCTTGTTTTTGCTACAAAAGTGGATGACCTCACATTTATCCACGCTATAATTTATCTGCCTTGCATTTGTCCACTCATTCAACTTGTCCAAGTCACAGTGAAGCATCTCTACATCCTCCTCACTGTTCACCATCCCACCCAGCTTTGTGTCATAGCGTCATAATCATAGATTCATACAACATGGAAACAGACCCTTCAGTCCAACCAGTCCATGCCTCACATCATCCCAAACTAAACTCGTCCCACCTGTCTGCTCCTGGCCCATATCTCTCCTAACCCATGAAAACTTGATATATTGCATTTAGTTCCTTCATCTAACTCATTAAAATATATTGTGAATTACTGGGGTTGAAGCATTGAAGCCTGCAGTACCCCACTAGTTAGTGCCTGCCACTAGGAAAAAGACCCATTTATTCATACTGTTTATTTCCTGTCTGTCAAACAATTTTTATCAATGTCAATACACTATCCCCAGTTCCATATGCTTTAATTTAAATGCTAATCTCTTATTAGGGACCTTATTGAAAGCCTTCTTAAAGTTTAAGTGGACACATCCACTGACTGCCCTTATCAACTCTACTGGTTATACTGTCGAAAAATTCCAGTAGATTTATCAAGCTTAATTTCCCTTTCATAAATCCATGCTGACTCTGTCTAATCCACTGACGGTTTTCCAAGTGCTCTGCTATTAAATCTTTTATAATGAATGCTAGCATTTTCCCAACTACCATGTCAAGCCACCAGGTCTACAATTCCGTTTTCTCTCGACCTCCCTTTTTTTTAAAATAGTGAGGTCACATAAGCTACCCTCCAATCCGTATGAAATGTTCGAAGAGTCTATAGAATGTTAAGAGATGATCATCAATGCATCCACGATTTCTAAGACCACTTCCTTAAAGACTCTGGGATGTAAATTATCTTATCGGCCTGTGGGATTTTTGGCCTTTAATCCCGTCAATTTCCCCAAAACCCAGTTCCTTCAGTTCCTCCCCCCAACATTTTTGGGATGTTACTTGTGTGCCCCTTTGAGAAGGCAGAACCAAAATATGTACTTCATTGATTTGCCATTTCTTTGTTCCCCATTAGAACTTCCCCTGTTTCTGATGGTAAAGGACCTACATTGTCCTCACTAATCTTCTTCTTTTCACAAACCTATAGAGGGCTTTACATTCAGTTTGTATATTCTTGCAAGCTTATTCTCGTACGCTTATTTTCCCCCTCTTAATCAAATGCTTTTCTTCCTTTGTTGAAATCTAACCTGCTCCCAATCCTCAGGTCTGCTGATCTTCTTGGCCAATTTTTAGATAACCCCTACTTGAATCAGATACTATCCCTTATTTCCCTTGTTGGCCATGGTCGGGCCAACTTTCCTGTTTTATACTAATGTTATCTGCTACACCCAGTGAGTAAGGCAGATAGTTACCATGGTGATTGGTAGGTAGAGAAGAGGTAGACAGAGCAGGGGTTGAGGAGAGGTAGCTGGCACAGGAGAAGAGGTAATAGTGGGAAGGCAAATGATAGTGATAGACAGAAGTACATGGTGGTGTTGGGGAAAGAGAGGCCAACAGTATCCCATTTATATTAAATTTGTGATACTAATCATATTATTGGTAACTGGTATGTAATGTGGACTCAGTCACACTGGGAATTCCTTTATCTGGGACTGGGATTAAAATACATAAAACTATAGCAGTGTAGGGATGACTGACTGATCCAAGAATTGTCTCTGACATCTACACTATAGGTGACCCAAGAATGTGCCATCTCGATTGCCAGGATAGGTCAGTGTCAAATTCAACAAGACAATATAAGAGGTTACTAATACATTGAAGGAGTTGAAAAATTCAGACTTTTTAAAAAAAGGACAGAAGACATTAAACATCTCCAACAAATAACCCTGTAAAATTACAAGGAGAGGGGATAGTTGATAAATACTATTCCCAGAGCAATGTGGGAAAATCTAGGAGTTTGCACATTCTCCCCGTGTCTTCATGGTCCAAAGATGTGCAGGTTAGGTGGATTGCCCATGCTAAATTGCCCGTAGTGTCCAGGGATGTGCAGGCTAGGTTGGGTTAGCCATGAGAAAGGCAGGGTTATGGGGATAGGGTAGGGGGTTGGATCTGGATGTTATGCTCTTTAGAGGGCTGGACTCAATGGGCCAAATGGCCTGCTCCCACACTGCAGGGATTCAATGAAAAGGAGACCTAGATATAAGCTTATATGCAAGATATCTAAGAGCGGGAACAGGAGGAGTTTCTGATACATACAGGACTGTGAGAGTGATTCCTTTAAATTTTCTTCATACTGGGTGCCATATACACTCTAGAATATTACTTTTTTTGTGCAAGGGTAATTTACATTTTAAGATGTCATTGGGCTTTCATAAAAGTACGACAGCCTGTTCATTTCAATATGGTGCATTCCAAATTGCTAGGGTCGTGCACAAATATACCTCAGAGAAAACACTGGTTCCAAATCTGCAGAACATCTTACTGGAGATAGTGATTGAAGCAGAGATCATGTAAACGTTAAGAAAACAAACTTCCAGACAATCATAGGCATTGCATTCAATTCCAGGCAACACACTTTATGAAGGATGTCAGGCCTTGGAGAGGGTGCAGCAGAGATTGACTTGAATAGCACCTGGCATGACAGAATTCATTTATGTAAAGAAACTGGAGAAGCTCCACTTGCTCTCCTGAGCACAGAAAAGGACAAGAGAAGATTTAGTAGTGATGTACAAAATTGTTAAGAGTTTTGATAGGATAAATTGTTTGAATTGGCAGGAGGATTTTTAATCAGGCAGCATTCATTTAAAATAAGTGGAAAAAGTCATAGAGAGGTGATTTCTTTTCATGCAGCAAGTTGTTGGGATCTGGCTAAAGACAATAACTTAACAGTAACTTTCAAAAGGGAATTAAGTACTTGAAAGGGAAATATTTGCTGGACTATTGAAAAGAATAGAGAAATGGGGCTAATTATACAGCTTTCATTTAGAGCTAGCATGGGCATGATGGGCCGTGTGGTGTATTGCAGTGCTGATTGTTTATTTGTAACATCAGTGAACCAAAGATAATTTTCTCATATTTGTGGGCATAAGAAAACTGCTTTTCTTTGCAAATACTTTCTTCACTGAAATGATGGCACACAGATCATTGTTAAGACTGTGAAATATTAGTCAAATGCAAATAATGGTAAGCTGGAATCTGCAACAAAATGACAAATCAATCAATCTGATCTGCTGCCCATCTCTCCAGTTACAGCTATAATATCCCTTACTCTATTGTTAACGAGAGTACAATGAGATTGCCATCATCTTTCAATGTTCAGTTTGCTACCAGTCCCCTTGGTTATTTATAATTTATGGAGCAGCCAGATCCTCAATGATAATATCAGCTTTCAGAATGTAATAACAGTACAAACGCCATCAAAGACAATTGTGTCCAATACTAGGCTAATGAACCAGCACAACAGATGGGATTGCTAAGATGTTGGAGGCAGTGTTCCCAAACATGCTCAGAGCAACTGCTTTCACATGATCAGGATGTTGGACAGCCCAGCAGGGCCACTCATTCTAGACTGACACATTTTTAGGTCATTCATCCATGTACACCATGAAGTTTAATTGTCATGTGCTGTGCTGCAGATGAAGCCATGACTAATTTGTGTTGAAACGCAGTAAAATCTGTGAGAATGTTGAAAAAACATAGCTGGTTGTCTAATTACACCCACCACACAATGTGATTCCAGTCTTATCCTATGTGGTGAAACCAAATGTGTTCAGGACCACCAATGATATACGGTAAATACTACATTGCCAGCACTGACCAACTCTCAAGGTCAAATTATAAACAGGTGCAAACAAGTAGTGGAAATATTGACAAGGCATTGTAACAGTAATAAAGAGCAAATTACGCATTATTATAAAGGAGTGTCAGAACCTAATCAGGAGTATTTTGACATCTGGACAGTCCCATTAAAATCCCTGAGAAACAACATCAGAATCAGCTTCTTTACACAATAGGTAACGGAAATCAGAAAGTTTTGCTTGGAAAAACTGAGGTTGATGGATTTGTGTTGAGTAAGTGTACCTAAAGTTATGGAAGCAAGGTGGACAGGTAGAGTTGCTATACAGATCAGCCATGATCTACATGAATGGTGGAACGGTTTTGAATATCCGTATCCTATTCCTATGTTCCCAAGCTATGAAAGAGTACTCTTACTTACCATTCACTTTCTGTGCGCCAACTCCCAAATTACCAAAAGATAAACTAAATTTTACATTTTTTAAAGTAACAATGAGTTGTGTTTTGAAGTCTATTATATTTTGTGCTTAAGTCATCAACAAATCCTTACACCTCTACTTTCTGATGATGCTCATATCCGTGCTTCTTCAATTAGAATTATTACAAAGAATCAGTAAAACACACTATAATTAAAGTGTGTGCTGGAAAGAGAGAAAGCAAGCCTAACAATCAAAACTGTTAGTATTTCAACTATACCAGTATTTCATTCTGTGAACTGTAAGTGAACATTACCTGAAATAACAGCAATTTTGGATGATCCATGTTCTTCTTGAGCAATCCGTTCTGCCTCCTCCATTAAAAGCATTCCGAAACCCTGGAAAACATTGAAATTTAACAAAACTGACAGGCTATACAGATCAGCCATGATTTTATTGAATGGCAGAGCACGCTCAAGGGGGTGGAATGGTCTACTTTTGCCCCTATTTCATTTGTACAAAAGTAGCAATTCCAGATAAGCAAGAACTACGATCTGGACAAAGGAACCGAGGACAGATGACACAAAGTAGGTGGAGGGATAGGTAGTATTGAAGAAATGGGTAGGCTGTGGAAGGACTTGGTCAGACTTAGAAAGTGGGCAAAAAAGTGGCAGATGGAATACATTGTGGGAAAGTGTGAGGTTACGCACTTTAGAAAGAAGAGGTATCGAATATTTTCCAAATAGGGAACAGCTTCAGAAATCTGAAGCACAAAGGGACTTGGGAGTCCTAATTCAGGATTCTGTTAAAGTTAAAAGGAACTTACGGTTGGCAGTTCAGAAAACAAATGCATAGCATTCATTTAAAGAGGGCTGGAATAAAGAGAAGAAATGTACTGCAGAGGCTGTATAACGCCCTGGTCAGACCAGATTTGGCATATTTTACTCAGTTTTGGGGTCAGTATCTAAGGAAGGATGTGCTGGCATTGGAGAGGGACTACAGGAGGTTTACAAAAATGATCCTGGGGATGAAGGGCTTGTTAGACGAGGGGCAGTTGAGGACTCTGAGTCTGTACTCGATGCAGTTTTGAGGATGAGGATGAATCTGTTCGAAACTTACAAAATGCTAAGAGGCTTGGATAGGGTGGCCGCAGAGATGTTTCCACTACTGGGAGAGACTAGACCTGAGAAGTCAGTCTCAGAGTGAAGGGACGACCCTTCAGAACCGAGATGAGGAGGAATTTCTTCAGCCAGAGGGTGGTTAACCTGTGGAACTCATTGCCTCAGACTGTGGAGACCAAGTCATTGAGAGTATGTAAAACAGAGATAAATAGGTTCTTGATTGGTAAGAGGTTCAAGGGTTGTAGGAAGAAAGCAGGGGAATGGGGTTGAGAGGCAAATTAGCCAAGACTGAATGACAGAACAGACTCGATGGGTCAAATGGCCTAATTCTGCACTGATCTCTTGTGGTCTAACTGCATCAAGAGAGGTTGGGATCAAAGAACTTAGTGTTTACAGCTGTGTCAACCCTTCGAATGTCTAATTCATCACTTTCCCAATACCCTTATTCATACATTTGAAAAACAATGTCCAGTCCCTTTTTTCCCTGAATTTTGCTTCCCCCACTGTTTGTTGCCAAATATTTCATGTCCTAAGAGTGTATTCTTCACAATGTATTGCTCATTGTGTTTATTTGTGTTAAATAATAAGATTCATCAGTGAAAGCAACAGGACACCTTGTTCTAAATGCTTAATAAATTTTAATTGGGATGAAGGACTCTTCCCAATGCAACACAAGATTTCAATTTCTTCACTTACCAGTCCTCTTAATTACAAATGTAATTTATTGATTATGTAGTGCAATTCGTGTAAATAAACACTCTAAAGCACTTAAATGGGAGCATGCAGAGAAACAGATGGAGTATTTTTAAAGGGCAGTCAATGGTGTAGTGTGCGAAATATGAGAGCCTGTAATAAATTGTCTGCCATATTTCCCTCATTTTAACAGTAACTGCTTTTCAAAACTACCCCACTGGCATCATTTTCCCCACCATATTCACTTGTGAAATGCTGAGTTATTTATTTACATTAACAATGATACAAATGCATATTATCGAACAAAATAAAAAGGCTGGTACATGGAGACACTGACTGAATAGGATAACAATGGTAATTACTTCATGTTGAGTGCTGTATTTGAAGAGTGCTTTATCCTAACCAAAGAAATCCTGCTTTTTTGATCATGCTTACTTGGTTGAAAAAAACTTTGGGATATTGGACAGTTGCAAACATTTCTTTATTCAAAAAAGTATGTGTAAGGAAATGAGACACACAAGATACTGAATAGTAAAAGCATAATTGTTTTAACAAGGCAGAGTAAAATGGAAAAGTGGTGGGAAATCAGGTGAGTGAGTATTTTCCTAATCAGAGTCATTAACAGCTTATAGGCAAGAAAGAGGTTGAAGTTGAGGTGAGGACAGTGAACTGATTCAAGAAATATTCAGATGATGTATGGGAGACATAAGGGTTGAGGTCAACTCAAGTAATTTTCTGATTGTGTGTGTATATCTGAACCTAGTGGAGAAGAAGGAACAATGAACAATGAAAAACAGGAACAGAACAGTCAGGAATTGTGCCAAAGTCTTTCATGGAGCATGACAATCTATTGGAGATTCTTTCATTACTACTGAAATCCTAATTTCAAACAATGGAAATTCACATTACAGGTTCCAAAGTACTTGAATACAACACATTTAGGGTATATGTCATCACATGGCTTAACCAGATACAAGGGTTAAGAGCAAAGCAAAAGGTTTATTTTATTCATATTTTTACAAAGGTCTTCAAAGAGAAAAATTCATATGAACTAAACACTGTTGCTATAAACCAATTACAACTGAGTACATTAATCACTAGTATTTATCACTGGCTCATTTATTTTTGTTAAATTTCTCAACAGCAGTAAAAACATCCAATGGGGTAAACTCATGAGTAAAATGACAAAGTTCAACACCTCTATATTTTTGGCTGAACTTATTTAGGCACACCTACAGATGCATGCAAAAATTGGTTAGTTTTGACATTCAGTAACAGGCTAGGAAGAAAAATTCTTAAATGTCACAAGTTTATGTGGTAAATTGGACAATGGACAGATGTTAGCTTTAAATTTTTAGGAGTCAGTCAACAACTCAATGGAGTTGATGTACATGTTCTGTCTCCCTTACCAACCAACAATCCCCCAGAGTGAGAAATGTAGCAAAAAAAGATAGTGAGGCATCTTGCAAACTCGGTGAAGCCCAAGGAGCTTACTGGTTTTACTAGAGCGATATTGATCAAACACAGTACCTTTCTGAATCTGAACAAATGCAATGTGATAGGTCCAGTTTGTAATCTATGTGCCCATTGTTTTTTCTGAAGTGTCAATGCCAGGTGACTGGCCTCAATGTCTGGGCAGTCAAAATAAAGCTCATAATTCTGAGGCCATGGAAGTACTTCATCTGGACTCCGCAGGCAGGCTAAGCTTGTGAAGAACAAAACTAGGGGCTATTACCGTAAGACAGGGAAACCCTACAGGGAAACCAAGAGATGTTTCTTCAGACAGTGACAAAAATATGGAATTCACAAGTAGTGGTTGAGACAAACAGGATAAATGGATTCAAAGGAGAGTGAGGGAGAGAGAAATATTATATTTGATGAAATGAGATAAAGTACTGTGGAGATCATGTCATACATAAACAGTCTTAGACAATGGGCTGAATGGTCAACTTTTGTCCTGCAAGTAGCATGCAACTTCAGGATAATGATACTTTTACAACATGCAAAGCTGTCTGTGTTACAAGAAGGGTATTTCTGTACTCTTTGCATTACAGTAAACGGCCGAGTGGTAGGGCTTCGTGCAGGGTCTTGCCCTGGGCTCAGCCACTCCCGCATGCTTTCTTCCTTTTTTCCTTTTACTTCCGCTCTTTCTTTCGCTTTTTTTCCCATTTGTTTTTCTTTGGAGCCTTTTGTGGCAGGTTAGTGGGTGAAATCAGCGCGGCAGCTAAAGCAGGCCGTGTGTGGAACGGCAGCTCCTCCCGACAGTCAGAGGCAGTGGCAGCACCAACAGCAGGGACATCCTCCCGGCATTCACGACTGGCACCAGCAGCAGGGACATCCTCCCGGCATTCACAACTGGCACCAGCAGTGGTAGCAAAGCTCCTCCCAACGATTGGAGATGGTGGTGACAGAAGACTTTTCAAGATGTTGGCGGTGGCAAGGCGACATCTCAGAGGAGGGCAGCCAGAGTGGGACTCATGATTGTGGGGCCAGTGTAGGTTCAGCTTGGGACCCAGCATCAGCAGTGCTGAGATAGGCCCGGCAACCAGGAGATAGTGCCTAAAGAGTGGCGAATCCTACGATAGTGGGTCAGGCACAGGCGCCGGTGAGAAGGTGGAGGAGGGGTTAGTGGCGCAGGTGTCATTAGTGACCCGGCTCAGCACGCTCTTTCAGTTATGCCTTTTATACTTCTTTTTCCTTAAGCTATTCAAAATGGCACCAAGTTGTGGTGATTGTTGAAGCTTTTCACTGTATTTTACCACATTATTCACTGCAAAATGCAAGTGACAATAAATAAATCCTAAATAATGCCTCCACAGTTGACTAACCATTTCACTTTTCACCAGCTAAAAGGAGACTAAAAGTTGCATTTTTTTCTTGGACTCATCAGAACAAGGACGCAAGAAAAAACATGTCGTTAAGACTTATTTTCAGACCAAGCACGTACACTCTGATTGCATGGGGATGTAGTAAAGTCTGGCAGGAATGCAATGTACGTACAAACCTGCAATGTATGTACAAATTTATTTTGTCTACATGGAACAGTCTTACGCATTCATGATTACTGACAGCTGCTCTGTTAGGACTGCTGTCCAGTGACAGCCCGATGAGAACTCCCTGATGACAGCTCCCATCTACCTCCGAGCACTTATTGTTCGATTATATCTTTACGGGCAGGTAGCTTATTCTGTGTCAATCAATTGTTTGAACTCTTCTGGACAATTGCCATAGGACAGCTTTCATAGTGTTGGATGGCTGTTGTCCACAAGCCCATCTTCAACTGAGAATTAGTTTACCATTCTTTCCAAGAACGTAGTAAATATTAGGAAAATTTGGTTTTAAGGGGACCCCAATTTCCAACACTTCTAGCATGCACAAATACATCAACACTATAGGCCTGGGGTGATGATCTTAAATTGGTTTCTGGTGTAATTCTCAATATATTCTGGATTATTTAATAAATGATTTCCGATCATAGAATCACATCTAATAGTGGATATAGTTTTGAGGCTTGCAAGCACGGGCTTGTTAAGCATGAGTGGCATGCTGCCAGCCGCGAATGATCATTAACATGCCTTGTATGATGCAGTCTGCCAGACTTCAGGTGTATAGCCTAAATATCTGGCATCACATCAGCACTGGAACTCATGCCACATTACTCATTTGTGTTTAGGCAAAAGTGTGGGATCTCCTTTAGGCCCAGTTCTTGCTAACATCTTTGCTGGTTACCATGAGAAGCACAATTTTGATGGAAAGACCACTAACCTCCTCCCCCTTGCATTCTTCCAATATACAGATGACACGCTTGTAAAGTTTCGATCTGTGGCCACAAAGAATTTCTTTGCACAACTTAATAAACTCCATCCTATACTCAATTTACCATTGAAATGGAGCAACTAACTGAACTCCCCTTCCTCGATGTGTTAGTTGAGAAGTTGGAAAATGCGTTCTTAACTACTATCTACCAAAAGCCTTTGTTCACCAGTCAGTGTATGCATTGAAATTCCTACAGTCCCCACAAGCTACAAGATCAATTTTATTAGTAACCTCATGGACTGGATCCTAGTTATCTGCTCAACTTGTAAGCTTGATGCTGAGACAGGGCATAACAGAACTATTTTCTGTGATCTGATCAAATCGTCGCTTGTAGTATATTGCAAAAGCTCAAGAAAATTCCACGCCCATTACATTTGGCTCTGAGCAATGCACAGTCTACCTCAGATTACCTGGGAAGAGAAAGGTACCTCAAAAAAAAACAGGTGAAATTAGCAGCCTTGTACTGCTACAATGCAGTAAATCCTCGAGTGTTTTTTTCTACCAACAGGATGTTGCTGTCAAATCAAAAAGGTGTTTTGCCTACCACATATATCAGTAATGTAACAGATGAGTTTCAGTGCTAGTGTAATGCCTGGTATGTAGGACATACATTCCAACGACTGGCAGACCGTATCAAGCAACATATCCCACTGATCATTCACAGCAAGCAGCATGTCCCTTGTGCTTATTCAGACCATGTTTGCAAGCCTCAGTAAAGTATATCCCACCATTAGATGTGATTCTACTCTTGGAAATTATTTCTTAAACAATCCAGACCATACTAAGAGTTACACCAGACATCAATTTAAAATCATCAGCTGGGCCATAGTGTGGTGCATTTGCACAAGCTAGATGCTACATATACGAATACTGTTTTATGTAAGCAAAAGAAATTTGTACACACATTGCACCTTTTTCAATCAAAAAAGTTAGTTGTGGAGACAGCCAAACTCTGCTGTATCTCCATGGGTCAACCCCCTGACCAATCAGATATTACCTGCCCAGGTCTCTGAGAATTATGATTGACAATTAACTGTTCTACTGCATCTCCACGTCAATGATAACCCAAACAATCAGCATCTCTTCTCATGCTGTATTAAACAGTCTCTTTCTTCAAGTCGGTTTCTTGTGTCCTAATTCTGATGAGTGCAAAACAAAAAAAAAGCTTCAAATTTTAGTCTATTTATAGCAATGTTTGAAATTTCCAGAGTTCAGATGTGGGTCAACAAATGGAGATTAAAATAAATTACAATTTCCTGAAATGAGAATTTTTATGAATTTTTATGTTAGTTTCAGTGTTTGTTCCTGTGTAATTAAATTGCCCAAATGATTCATCCTTACCTGATGTTGGAATTTGGATGGATCCCGTGCACTGACAGGCACTACACTGCCATACACATGGAGTTCTCGCACAATAGATACTCCTCCCTTCAGCTCTGTTCTGAACGTTTCCTCAGAACACTTCCGCAGGCGGAGTAGTCCGATTAGAATGTCCTGTTCAGGATCCTCATAGGACAAGAACGTTTCCCAGCCACCACTTGCAACATAATCTCTTCTTACCAATTCTACCTGAAGGAAATTAACCACACACTCAAGATTCTTGTGCTACAGAGGGCAGGTTATTTAATCAACTACTCACTTAGACCCTCCCATTACATGGGCAGATTGCTAACGTAACTACCCATTCAGACCCTCCAATTGTAGGCAGCAGGCTATTAAAGTAACTTACAGACACTCCCATTTCAGGGAGCAGGCTACCAAATTAAACACAGACTCAGGTACTTTCATTGCAGGGGACAGACATTTTTTTTTTCTCCAATATGGCATGCAAACAGTGGTTATAAAATACAGCACAGGAACAGACAATCCGGCCTAACCAGTTCACTGGTTGTTATCCTCACTGACAGCAGCAGTTGTAATCCTATGTGCCTATTCTGTTCCATATGCATTTATTCTTCATTCTATTCACCATACATCTAAACATGGTCTCTGTCTGAATCACCACCACCAGAAATGCATTTCACAGCTTCACAACCCTTGAGGTAAGAAAATTCAAATTCAAAACCTTCAACCAAGAGAAACATTATGCTCTGACTACTCCTAATTTTAAAAACCTCTACCAAATCACCCCTTAATGCTCCCTGATATCTTCCCTGAATGACCCAGTTCTAATTTTTTTTTGTTCTGGACTTCCAACCAAAGGCAACAGTTTTTTCTCTAGCTACTATACAACATCCTTTTTCATTTTAAGCAGTGACATAAGACCACCCTTTGACCTCATCCAAATTCAAACTCATTTATAGTGAAAATGTCTATTTATTTATTCAAGTTCACTTGAGATCTGCAAGGGATCAGGCCAGTTTGGTGTAACAATATCTGCTATCAGGAATACAGGTAGGTTTTTCAGATGCAGAAGATCCAGTGATTGTGACCTATGGGGTATTATGCACACTCAATCCTGTAAAGTGACAATTTTGTTTTATTTTGTTTTTGCACTTATCTCTGAGCTGCAGCTCAACTTATTTTACCCTCCTGAGAGCTGATGCTCAAAAGTTAGTAAAGAAATGAATGATGTGGAGGAGAATATCAGCTACCATCACCCCCAGCACTTCAGTAAGCGTTCAATGCTTATTTACCATCCAAATTAGTTCTGTCACTCAAGAAGAACACAGATTATAATCTAATAACCCAGCTGTAATGAAGCCGATAATAAAAATAATTGCATGAGGGAACACATAGGAGGAGGAAGGTGTCCACTATATCTTATAATGCTTTAAGAATTGCTGCAAATAGGGAATGGTGAAGCTTCCTATTATTTAAGAACTACTTCCACTTTACAGAGTGCAGTTCATTCATTGACCATTTCACAAACGATGAACTGATAGCAGTTGCCTGACTCATACTGAATGGAATCAAACACTGTGGAGGTAGTTGTTGACATGGCCAGTGAGGACTGAGATCCCCAGTATATCAGTAGTAAAAATGCAAGGTAGAAGGTGATACACGTGTGGAGTGAACTTTGTGAGGAAGTGGTGGATGTGGGTACAATGACAACGTTTAAAAGACATTTGGATAAGTACATAAATAGGATATGTTTGGAGCGATACGGGCCAGGAGCAGGCAGGTGGGGCTAGTTTAATTTGGGAACGTTGTTGGCATGGACTGGTTTGACTAAAGGGTATGTTTCCATGCTGACTCTATGACTCCATGGGTGCCACATTTGGGTATCTAACAATTCTCACTATGTGTCATTTGAACTGAGCCCCAGTGATTCTTCACAGACAAGGCCAACAAAATCAGAGCACCGTTCATCACCAACCAATTCTGTAAACTCGTCATGACAACGTGAAAGAGTCCTTCACACGAAAGAAGAGATTGCAAGTTTCTAAATGAACCAAATGGACTTAAGGACCTTCACCCATACATTTTTTTTTAAAAACTGTGAAATATTTTAAGTTAGGTTTCAGATATGAAAGGTTCATTTTTAAAGTCCAGAATGTGTGGGGATTTGGAAGTGTGGCACTCTGACCACCACCCTCTGACCCCAAGAAAAAGCAATAAGCATGTACTCAGTACACTCATGGCGAGGGTTACACTTACCTGATATGGTCGCACTTTGTGATGAATTTCCTGGATTCCAACCTCCCTCGTTCGGACATCGCGACACTGAGAATAATACAGGGCAAAATGTCAAATCTCTGGCTTAATTTTGAAGAATTGCTTTATAATTAAATCCTTCTACCACAGTCTCTGTGGGATACAATACCAACATGCATTCTCACTGGCTGGATATAACTGCATTGTGTAATTATGTAGACTGAGGCAGCACAAGCTGAATTTTTAAAAATTCAGATTATTAAGAGCTTAAACTTACTGGACATCTGTCATAGATTAAAATATTTATTTATGGATTGTGATATTTTATTGTATTAATCACTTGACATATTTTAGTCCATTGTAACAAATTTGATCAGGCAGAACTTTTTTTTAAACAAAATGCATTTTTTTTGACACTTTACCTCAGTTCCCCAATCTTTCATCCTGGCCAAAGCTAGTTCTCTTAGGTTCCCATGCTCTACTCCAGAACTGACCAGAGGCATTGGGATATCTCTGCATAATAAAAAAAAACAAATTACTCATCAGATTTCACTAAACCACAGGAGCAGATACCTTCATCAGACCAACTGTGCTCCTAAAACTATTTTTAACGTCCCTTCCAGTCTACGCTTGTTTGGCACATAGCTGCTTTATGCATCAAATTATGAAAACAGGTTGAAACTGGCTGGGAAGGACGAAGCCATGGAAATTGTGACATTAACAGCAAAATGAAGCTTCAGTGGCTACATAAAGTGGCTAAATATAGCTTAAAAGTAGGGGAGAGCTAAGGCAATACAAATAAAGTCATACCACATTGAAAATCAGGAGCACAACATAAAAATATAAGAAACAGAAGCAGAAATAGGCTATTCAGCCTAAGCCTACCATGCTAATAAGATCATGGCCAATCTGCTCCAGGCCTCAATTCCTTTTTCATGCCAGCTTCTCATTGCCCTCAACTCCGACATTTCAAAAAGTTACCTACTTCCTTTAAATACTTTGTGATCTAGCCTCCACAACACTCCGGATGGAGAATTCAAATCATTCACTACCCTCAGAGAAAAATCCTTTGCATTTCAGTTTTAAAGAGTATCCCCTTATATTGTAACTATGCCGCCTAGTTTGAGATTCCTCCACTAGTGGAAATATCTTCTCAGCAACACCCTTATCAAGCCCTCCCAGAATTTTGTATGTGTTTTCATAAAGATACCCCCTCCATGGTCTAAACTCTAATGAATAAAGGCCTAACCTGCTTAGCCATTCTCAATAGGTCAACTTCTTCATTCCAGAAATCACTCTAGTGAATCTCTTTTAAACTGCCTCCAAAGCAAGTACATCCTTTCTCAAATCTAGGGACCAAAACTGTACACAGTATTTCAGGTGTGCCCTCCCCAACACTCTAAGACATATGTAACAAGACAACTTTACTTTGAAACTCCAAACCCCTAGCAATAAAGGCCGAAATTCCATTTGCTTTCTTAATTAGATGCTGCACTTGTGTGCTAATGTTTTGTGTTTCATGCACAAAAACACCCAGATCCCGCTGTGCCACACGTTTTTGGAGTCACTCCATTTAAATAATAGTCTGCCTATTGACTCTTCCAACCAAAGTATGACCTTTCACTTTTCTACATTAAAAGCCATTTTTGCCCACTAATTCAACCTATCTACATTTTCTTATATCCTCATCATAAAATGTCTTTCCAACTATTTTTGCATTGTCAACAAATTTGGCTAGATTACACTCTGCTCCCCACCTCCAAGTCATAAATATGTGTAGTAAATAATTGAGGCCCTAGGACTGACCTTTGTGACACTCTACCAGTTATGACTTTTCAACCTGAAAAGGCCCATTAATCCTGACTATGTTCTGTGCAATAATCAATTCAAAATCCATGCTAATACTTTAGCCTCCCCATACCGTGAACTCCTACCTTCTGCAATAATGCTTTTATGTGGCACCTTATCAAATGCCTTCTGGAAATCCAAATATACTACATCTTCGATTTCCCCCTTATCAACTTTAGCTCGGCATTCAAGCTAAGGTCTGGATAAGATCAGAAAACGATGTATCATGAAAGTAACTAGATCAGAATACATAGAAAATTGTGTTTGCTGTTTGTAGAATGTTTCTGGCAAGAAGTAGAATGAGAGGAGTAGGTGTAGAAATACGGGGTGTAGATCAAGTAATGACATTGCATTAAACGAAAATTGACCAAAATCTGACCAAATTGGATTAGCTCACACAACAAAAAGGAGTATCAGACATTCGCTATAAAGAAATTCAAAATCTTGTATGGTTACATAGTACCAAGGTCAAATGGTTCAATTAATGACGTAGCTCAATTTCTTGAGAGAGAAGCGATCACCTCTGAGCATGATACACAGTCAGAGGGCAGCAATTGCAGAAGGCTATTCTGAATCTTCAGCATGGTTTCCTGTGTTTATATTAGTTTATTTCTTTGCACTGGAATTCTTTTAGGCAGAGACTAGATGGAAGATTATACTCCATTTTTCAACAAGCAGGTGATGAGACTCTGTAAATGAACAAAGAGAGTGCTTCCAGTAAAGCAGTAAACTAACAGGCTCCAAACTACACTGTGGGGGAGGTTTCATCTTTGTGGTGATGACCGAAACCCAGGCTCCATCTGTCTTTCAGGGACATATGCAAAATTAAAATAATATTATTTTGAAGACCAGAAGAGCTTTCCCATGAGTCCCAGGAAATGTTCATTAATTAACATTATTAAAACAGGTTACTAGGTCTTTAACATGTTACTATTTCACACTGCTATGTTGGGATCTCTCTGTGCACAAACTGGTTGCGACATTTCCTTATATTGTAATACTGATTGCATTTCAAATGTCCTTCTTTCGTTTGAATGTACTTTGGGATATCCTGTGGTTGTGAAAACAGCATTATAAAAACAAGTCTTGCCTCTACCAAAGTTGGGGCGATGCAAGGAAAAGGCAAACAGTTGACCCAGGAAATTACAGACCTGAGTTAAGAGCAAAAAATGCAGACAGGTACTGACCTTTTTCAAATTTGGAAAGGCATACCCGAAAGGTGATCCTGAAGAGATACATTAAAAAGCTACGCAACAGGCACAAGTTCAAACTAGAAAAACATGGTAGTGATAGCAGGAAACCCTGTTCACAAAGGGTGATAAAGACATGGATACAGTAGTAGAGGCAGCAACCCTGTAATTTAGGAGATAGTTGGATGATATATTGAGGCTAAAGAGGAGGGTATGGACTAAATGGATAGATGAACCACAAAGGCTAAAAAGATTCTCCACTCAAGAATACTTCACAATAAACAGAATTGTTCCAGCGATCGACTTGAAAACAGCGAACTAATCTCAGTCCCCACATCACCAACTCACAATCCAGGTCATTAAATTGGAGCATAGACATGGAAGAGCAACTCTCCCTGGGAGGGAATATTCAAACCAGGAAATGTGAGCTCTTTCAGTAACATATATGTTACATATTATATATATGGCAGTGTTCCTATTATTTATGAGGGAGGAGAGTGAATTTGTGGTATTTTCTCTCCTTTAAATTTTCTTTTGAAATTACTGCCCAATTCAGATGCAAAATTGCTCAGCTCCTTGGTTTTCCACTTCCTCAATTATTACAACACCTCAGCACTTTGGATAAGACTTGCTTGAATTTCATGGCAGTTCGTCATGTTGAACTGGTTGTTCCAGTTTGTTCCCCTCAATTTAAAGTTTTCTGAGCTGCAAATTTGAAATAATGGCCCTCTGTAAAGCAGCTATTTTATCACACACATACTCGTGGAGATAAAGAGACCTGATGACCCATGTGCCAGTTATGAGACAGTCAAAAGGCACTGATCACAGCAGATAAATTAACTCATTACTTTCAAACATAGACATCAGAGAGAAAGGATGTAATTCATGGGTGAGTCAATAATTTAAGAGTTCCACTGGTACAAGTGACGTGGGCATATCATTCTTCACCCAGTCCATTTTAATGCACCAATGCAGATTCAAGTGACATTTACTTTTTAAAGAGCTAATTTTAAGTCAGGTTTAAAAGATTTTCAAGCATGCATGCAATACACAGCACAATAATCATTCTTCAATAGATTGCTTTATGGGCAGAAAACACATTTATCGATCCCCTAAGAACAAAATACCAAGCTGGCCTCCAAACTCCCGCAGCAACACTTTTCAGTATGAAGTATAATAGTGGTGTGCTCCTACTTCGCTATGTCATGTGGAAATTGGATTTTTACTCTTAGCTACGTTACAATACTGAAGGTATGAAAACTCAAGTTATGTAGGTGGAAGCATGTAGTTATAAAAGGACACAGATTAAGTGGGTGAGCAAAACTACAACAAATGAAGTGGGAAGGCGGGGAAGTGAGAGGTCATTTACTTTGTTCCCAGAAAGACAAACTGGAATGCTTTCTTATTGAAGAGACTGCAGGAATTGTGGAGAATCAAAGGGAATTATGTGTTCAATTACACAAATAATTAAAGGATAGAAAACAGACAAAAAAACAACTAATGCAATGTTGGGTTTCATCACAGAAGTCGGAATGAAAAAAACAGGAAAGTTTTCCAAGATTTTGGTCACAACGTTGCTTTGGGTACCGAAAATCAGGAAGGATCCACTGGCCTCGGACGGAAAATTATGCATGTTCATCAGAATTATAATCAGTAATAAAAGGTTGAAATACAACAGCAGGTTGCATGACAGAACAAATGGATAAACTCCAAAAACTGTTTATTCCTGTCTGCTGCAAGAGTGCAAACAGGACAGTAGCCAAACCATGGTTTATGAGGGAAATTACAGTTAGCATTAAATACAAAAGAAAGAGGTATGCAAATTGGCCAAAAGAAACAACAGACCAGAGGATTGGGCGTCGTTTAGAAGTCAGCAAAGGAGGGCTTGATTAAGAAGGGGAAAATACAGTATGACAGTAAGCTTGCAGGGAACATAAGAGCTGACTGTGAAAGTTTCCATAAATATCTCAAGAGAAAAAGATTGGGTGAAAACAAATCACGTCAGAAATGGGGGAATTTATAATGGTAAACAAGGAAATAGCTGACTAAACTAAATTCATACTTCACTTGTCTTCACAAAGGAGAACATGAATAACATACCAAAAATGGTGGGGAGCACAGGGGTTAGTGACAGGGAGGAAACTGAAGCAAATTTGTATTAGCAGAATTGGTATTGGAGAAATTGATGCGACTGGCATCTGAGAAATTCTCCAGGGCCTGATAATTCACATCCTTAAGAAAGTGACCTTAAAAATAGTAAATGCACTGGTGGTCATCTACCAAGATTTTTTAGATCCTGGAACAGCTCCTACAGATTGGATGGTAGCTAAGGTAATCCCACTACTTAAAAAGGGACGTAGAGAGTAAATGGGGAACTGTAGACCAGTTAGTCTGGTGTCACACGGTAATGGGGAAGATGCTCGCCCATTATCAAGGAAACACTGGTAGAATCAGATACAGTCCACATGAATTTACAAAAGGGAAATCAAGTTTTGCAATTCCACTGGAATTCTTTGAGGATATAAGTAGTAGAGTTGATCAGAGGGAACCAGCAGATGTGGTCTATTTGGACTTTCAGAATGTTTTCGACAAAGTCGTACATAAGAGATTAATGTAAAATTAAAGTGCATTGGATTGGTGCAGTGTATTGAGATGGACAGAAAATTGGTTAGCAGACAGGAACCAAAGAGTAGGAATAAATGGCAGGCAGTAACTAGTGGGGTACTACAGGGATTGGTACTAGGACCCCAGCTATTCTCAATACATATTAATGATTTGGATGAGGGAACTAAATGCAATATCTCAAAATTTGCAGAAGACACAAAGTTGGTTGGAAGATGAGCTGTGAGGTGGATGCAGAGATGGTGCAGTGTGATTTGGACAAGTTGAGTGAGTGGGCATATGCATGGCAGATGCAGTAAAATGTGGATAAATATATTATCTACTTTGACTGCAAAAATAGGAAGGCAGATTATTATTTGAATGGTTGTAAATTGAGAGAGGGGAATATTCACTGAGACCTGGGTGTCTTTGTGCACCAGTTGCTAAAGCAAGTACACAGGTGTAGCAGGCAATAAAGAAGGCAAACTGCATGCTTGCCTTTGCAGCAAGAGGATTTGAGTACAGAAACAAAGATGTCTTGCTGCAGTTATATAGGGCATTGATGAGACTATACCTGGAATACTGTGTGCAATTCTGGTCTCCTTATCTGAGGAAGGATGTTCTTGCTGTAGAGGGAGTGCAGCGAAGATTTACCAAATTGATCCCTGGGATGGCAGGACTGACACGTGAGGAAAGATTGAGTTGGTTAGAATTTTATTCACTGGAGTTTAGAAGAATGAAGGGGGATATCATTGAAACCTATGACATTCTAACACGGACCAGACAGGTTAGGTGCAGGAAGGATATTCTTCATGGTGATGGAGTCCAGAACCAGGGGTCATAATTTAACAACGAGGGGTAAACTTTTTAGGACTGAGATGATGCCTGTAAATTTTCTTCACAGAGTGGTAAGCCTGTGGCTGAGACCAAGTATTATATGTTTTCAAGAAGAAGGTAGATATTGCTCGTGTCTAAAGGGATCAAGGGATATGGGGGAGGGTGGGATTAGGATATTGAGCTCAATGATCAGCCATAATCGTAATAAATGGCCGAGCAGAGGGGTGAAATGGCCTACTCCTGCTTTTACCTTCTATGTTTTTTATAAACTTGGCTTGTAGTCCCTCAAGTTTAAAACAATAAAGGGTGATCAAATAACATCAATCAATAGGGTAGTGGTACAGATTGGCTATGACCCAAGGGAATGGTGGAACAGACACAAGGGTCAAAATGGCCTCCTCTTGCACACGATAACATGAATTGATGGGCAGGAAGTAACTAGCTGATCCATCAAGCTTGCATGCCCCTTTCCTGTTCCCACCCATAGCAGGTCAGCTAACATTTCCTGAGCAGATGAAATAATTAACTGCCTTTCCTTTTCAGATGTTGACTGATGTGTCATTTTTTCCACCAACTTCTCTGCATTTCAGCTTTCTGGCATTTCCTTTGCTTCCTACCACTGAGTCAATTTTGGACCCAATCTCCCATTTTCCCTTGGAAAGGCTCTTACTTTTCGACCAGTATGGTATGTGAGACCCTGTTAAAAGCCTTCCTAAAATCCAATCTACATCAAACCCACTAACATCATCCTTACCATCCCAGCACAAGGTTCTGCTGGCAGAAAAGTTCTGTACTGGGAGAGCTCCCAGGTCAAACAAATAACTTTGGTTGGTAAAAGGCAACCCCCTTGGAGACACATGCAAGGGAAGAATGAGTAATCTCTTGTAACATACCACATGTTGTGAGTGAAGTTTGAGTTAAGTGCCGACATATTTTGCATTACACAGAATAACTAGATGAATTCTACAAACAATATTCGCAGTGTGATTTGTTTTTAACTGAGTATTCTATGACAAGGAAAACAAGTTGGGCTACAAGCAGGCAAACAAAGTGTTCTTAAGAACTTGATGGAAGATGTCACTACTAAATACCTCTGAACACGATACACCCGTGTCCAGGGGGGAACGAGTGCAAGGATCCGAGCCACCAAATCCACAAGTGTGCTGGGTGAGTAACTCTTGTATCTGCCAGTTTTCCAGAGCTCATAAAGACCAGTGCCACGGATCACCAGTGTGGGATACAGCTTCATACCATCAGGGCGGAATGCTGGGTTCTCAAAGAACTCCTGCAAAACATCAAACAGCATAATTCACTGGAAATCGCACTACCTTGATACCATTATGGACATTTTATTAATAACCTAATATAAATGGCTCATGTAAGTGAACACTACCCAGGTGAGTGAGCAAAGATGATGTGATCAATCAGGAAACACCATGAAGTGATACCAAATTTGTAATTTTAACCCCACCCGATCCTACAACACTCCCTTCTCAGATCTCATTCTCCATTCCTCTGAATCTGACTTCAAGAATCTTTCACTGTGGTGACATCATTAGCGGCTAGTCTTCAACCACCTAAGCTGGAGAGTCTGTAATTCCCTCCTTAAATTATTCCATCTTCTTCTCCTCCTTAGAACACGTCTCCCTCTATCAGTTTTGTCATCTGCTTAGAATTTTCTTCTTTAGCTTGGTGGAAGCAGCTTGGGACTTTTCTGAACATTTATGAAGTTGTTGCATAGAATGATACAGAGTGTAGTTATGGAGAACAGTACAATACAGTAATACTCTGAGCAGCAATTTAAGATATAACTCTCACAGGGTTGCAATATTGCCTGCACACATTAAGAATACTTCTTTTTGTTTTGGATTAATGCAGATATACAGAGATTATTAATGTTTTAATATGCACTAAAATCCTTTGGGGGAACAGTTGAGGCTATGTGAGGCTGTCAACAAAACAAATAAAATTATCAGCCCCAGTTACAGTGGAACTTTCACTAACTCTACAGAAAAACACAGCACCAGAACTGCAAAATGCAACACAAGTGCTGGTGTAAAAATCTTGGGGGATTTATTCCATGATATAATCATGACTAATCACATATTACCTATGGTTCAGGCAGACTAACCTGTCAATTATAATCCATGAAACTCAGATGTTTTACAGAGATTATTTCGATAAATTTTGAACTACCTGCCATTATAATGGGGCAGGATTGTCGTAATTGAATACATGCAAAACAGCTCTTCATGCATGATGTCTGTGCCAGGGTTATCTATGTATTTTGCATTGTCATCGCTTTTTAACATCTAAACAATCAAGTACAGGTAGTTCTGCTATTACACATGTTTCGCTAACGTGAATTAGCTGTAACGCGACTGATGAACAGTGGACGCTGTTTGGATAATGTGAACTTTCTGCTGTACAGGTATAGCGATTTCCCTATAATGCGATTTTCTATAGCGCAAAGTCACACAAAAATGCAACTATCATGTTATAACAGAACTACCTGTACAGATCTCATTGACGGCGTTGTGTTTATCAGTCCTTAACGAGATGCCTCAGGAGTCAGATTTATTGACTATAAAATTTGCTAATAGAAGTCAGCAATTGATTTAATCTCTCTACTACAATAATCTCAATGACAACCAAATTATACGTTTAATTGCTCATTAAAACTGAAGTGATCAAACAACACCAGGCTAACCAGGCTGATTTAGAGTCATAGAACTGTACAGCATGGAAACAGTTCCTTCGATCCAACTCATTCATACTGACCAAATATCCTAAATTAATCTAGTCCCATTTGCCGGCATTTGGCCCATATCCCTAAACCCTTCCTAACCATGTACCTATCCAGATTAAATGTTGTAATTAGGGGGGCATTCCTTTATTCTCTCCCTACAAGATCAATCCTGAGTGTTCTATTTCAAATTTGGTAACGTTACAAATTTTGGAGCAAAATTCAAATCAATTGAATTTAATTCAACTGAGAAACACTGCCTCCAATGAAAATATCTAGAGACCTGAGCTTACATATTGCCTATGCATGGACCCAACCTAAAAGTGACCCCATCAATATCATACTGAAAGGAAGAACAAGGTGAGTGCACTATTACACCTAATAATAAAAAGATTAAAAAAGACTCCTATCCACTCTCACAGTAACATTAAACAATAAAACACATCCACTGTCACTCTCCAAAATTAAGCACTAAAATATATGTCCCCTAACTCATTCCAAATTTAAACAATAAAACACACTCTCATTATTATCACATCTTGAGCACGGGTATGCTCCATAAGGGTGAGTACAAGTATCAACTATATTTGTCTTCAAGAATCAGAGACCCGAATATTTAGAAGATATGCTCTGGGGAGAAAGAAAGAAATGGCAGGAGCAAGAAAAAGAATAATACTAATCAATATTGCTGACTATCCCTGTTAAGGTTCCCTGGGCCATGCATGGGTATGGTAAATAACTTCAATTTCTTAGAAAAGTCAGGTTGTTAGCACAGGGAAGGGTCTAGCTTTCATTTTTGTCCTTTTAGTCTATGAGATTCTATGAAATATCACCTTATACATTGTACTAAAAACAGAAAGTGCGGGAACATCTTAGCAGATCTGACAGCATCTGTGGAGGTTGAACAGTTTACGACTTGAGTCCAAGAAATTCCAAAACTGAGATTAGTTTGAGAGTTTTTTGAAATCATAAAAGATGTCTAAACATTTGATAATGACAGACAAGAAAAGATCACTGGTCCATCTAGGTTTGTCCCATTCACCCATACTGTAATTAAGATATCACAGTTGCTACTGCTCCCACCCAGCAGCAGTCATATAATATTTTGGGAGAAGCTAACAAAAATTGGTGGTTTCCTGCTCTGTGGAGTGTTACCAATTTAACAGGGGTTCAAACATTAACACTAATGCACAGTGCTTTGACTTCATTGTTCAAAACTCAGTTTTGCACGTACAGCTACCGGTCTGCCACAAGCCAAGACCTGTGTGTTTTTAAATTCGGTTGGAATGCTTGGCTTTAAGCTTTAACCTCTACTTATGGTTCAACGTCTATTGCAGATACTGGGGAATTCTCTTGCATCTCCCTGCCTCTCCTGAAAGGCAGAAAATGCCATTTCAGAACAACACATGCAGGTTAAACTAATTTATTTGCTTGTTAAATAATAACTTATATTCATACAGCACCTTCAGTGGAGTAAAATGTCTCAAGGTGCTTCACAGTAATCGGGCAGAATCTGACATCAAGCCACACAGAGTTCTAATGGTTCAGATTAGTGATTTTCAGCTTTCACTGATCTCACAGGAAGGAACTCCACCTCAAGTTTGTTTTTGTTATAATCTGGTCTTCCACTTCTTTATTCCCTTATCGCCTGTAAGATTGCTATATTTTCCCATCTTGTTTGTACTGCTCTCTGTTTTTCTGTTACTCTTACTTTTCTCAGGGTTACTTTTCCCCTCATTCTCGACTTGTTTCCTATTCTATCACTGTTTTACTTACTCGGTGGCTGCCCATCTCTTTACACAGGGTGTCCTATTTCTTAGGCTGTAAATGCTCTTTCACACTCTCTCCCTTAATTTTTAAACAAACCAAGTGATGTGACTGCTAAAGGAATGAAACTTTTAAAACTCACCTTTCATCTCTGGCATCATAGTACAGAATAAACTATGAACAGAGTAAAAACTTCTTCTACTCTGTCACAACCATGGTTTGAACAACATCTTCAGAAAAATCCTTCTGCCACATACTTGTATGGTGCCTTTAACTTTTCAATGTTGGAAGTGAGATTGTTAAGTTTGTGGCAGATTGAATGTCATTTGCCTTTCTTTCAAAAGGATTAATCATTGAGAGACCGTACCTGAACTGTTTTGGACTCCTTAACCAAGTTAGAATAGGGGGATACAACAAACGATATTTAGACTATTCCTTTGTTGAGGAGAATGTCCTATAAGGAGAGACTGGGTTGATTAGGCCTGTGTTTCCTTGAGTTTACAAGACTGACATGTGATCTAACTGAAATGTATAAAATTCTTAGACACTTCATAGTAAATGCTGGGCTGGAAATAGAGCTTAAAGACCCAAAATGAGGGATTAGGCATGTTAGACTTAAATAACTTGAGCGGTATCAATCTTTGAAATTCTCTATTTCAGGATGCCTTGAAGACTTTTTCCTGGGTATTTTATAGATCAAAATTAATGGATTGTTGGACAGTAAGAAAATCAAACGATCAAGAGATATTGTAGGAACGTTCAACGAAAAGATCGGCAATCATTTTATTTAACGGCAGAATTGTCTTTAAGAGTTGAAAAGGCCACTTTTGTGCCTACTTTTTATGATTTCCTCTAATGCTCAGCAAAATCTCAACTACTTGGAAATTGATGGAGACAAGCTCATTTCATTTGAGTCTACAACTGTCAAAAAGGTCTCCAAGGTTTTTGGCTCAATCAACTCAAACTCAGCTACAGAGGGAACAGAGTGCTCCTCCTTAACTACCAGTCTTAACAAGTCTCTCTCATTTGGAACAATTCATTTGGTTTTAAAATATAACATCTGACACCCCTCATTTCACAGTACAAAGATGGCCCCACATATTTTAAATGGCCTTGCTCCACTTGAGTAGAATTCTTACATTTCCTCAGTTCTGATGGTGCTGCTTAAATCTGTTTTGTCATCAGAATTTGGACAAGTCATTTAGGCTAAATTCAGACTAGAACTCAAGCATCTTACAAAGCAGTTTCTCTTGAAGACAAATTTTTACTTAACTTGTCAGTACAACAGAATCTGGAGTCATAGCCTCCTCAAAACAGAAGCAAAGTAAAATGAGCTTCCTAACAAAAACACTCTCATTGGCCAGTATGGTCTATCCCTGACACCCCATTTACAACGCTGTGAAGCCAAAACCATTTTACATAAGCATAAACATTTAATGCAAATGCACTCTCAGAGAATCTGGATTTACAAAAAGCAGTCTTCCTATTATAAAATAAATAGAAACAAGCTTACAAGAATGATCTTGAGAGGGTGAGGTATTTACTGAAGACTATAAATTATTGCATGAATATTACGAAAATGCAAAATGACTCAACTTACTTGGAGCACAATGCTTTCACAGAAAGTCACTATCGGAAAAAAAGATCAGAGAAACATATTCAATTAAACCTATCAATATGGTCCTAAATTCCTTAGAGGATGAACCATTTATGATTTCTTATGCTGCATTTTTTTTTTGAAGATGTCTAGTTTTTAACCTAACAACATATTGGCACCACAAATGCATAAATGTTATCACGGTAAAAGCTGGTAAAAATGATAATAAAGCTGTTGGATTGTCATAAAATCACAACAGAATCGCTGCTTGTGTTCTTTAGGGAAAGGACCTTGCCATCCTTTCTTTGCCTTTACTTGACTCCAGTCCCCATCAATGTGGATAACTCTCAATTTCATTCTGAAGTGCCTTAGCATGTCTGTCAATGATGTCCACACCCAGAGAATAAAATGGTCATTCAAACAAGTATTTCTAAAGTTTCTTTTGCTCCCGTTCCAGGCTGTGTTGATCTGGAATGCACCTCTTGATAGGGTGGTGGAATCATTTTCAATCTTAACTTTCAAAAGGCGTTTAGATTTACGCCTGGAAACTAATTAATAGAAAATACAGAAATACAAAGAAAACTGGTTTGCTCTTTAAAGTGCTAACAAAAGTATGATTATCTCCTTCTGCATTGTTGCAAAGTTTTTCAATAACACAGGCTCATGTATACGGTTATGTTGAACTGGCTACCAAACTTCTTTTTACATTTAAAATGAAGACACCATTGGATAGTGAAAGTTACACCAATTATTTGATCAAAGGAGAACCCACGTGATGGACACTCACGATGAATTGTTCGATGTCTCTCTCCAGGCCGACATTAGGAAGGTCAGGCATCATGTGTGCCACAACTTTAAAGCCAGCATCCTTTGCCAGCTGGAATGACTCACACACGGCCCTGACCGTGTGACCCCTGAAGAAAGATGAGAAGCAAAAGTTCAGCTAGTCGAGTCATGAGGTCTATCAGCAGGACACAGTCAAACAGCAGGGGCTCAAAAACCATCAGGATCCAAAATAAAACTGCACTGAAGTTTACTCTGTTTGTAACAACAACTTAAAATATTTTTGCTTAAGATCACACTGTATACCATTAAATCACTGTACGCTTTATTCAATCAGCATTTTAATTGTGGATTTTTGCAATTTTGTATTTGTGTTGAAGTATGCAAGGGGTGTTTAGAAAGTGATATCACCTTTCCTCTGTCACAGGTTCCTTCTGCTGTCCACAAACCTTAATCCTCATTTTGTTCTCAGTTCCTAAATAAATTGTCCAGTCATAGCATTTGCAGACAAAATTGGTCTGCCCCAGGGATACTCTCTGGGCTATGAGGCCATTATAGAAATGTAGAGTCTTTTGTCACACAGGAGGCAGACATTTGGTATTTCAATTCTGTCTTCTTTTAGTAGAGCAATTTAGTCAATCCTATTCCCAGTGCTGCAAGTATGTCTCCTTAAACAATTTCACTTCTAGCACCCTCTAAGGCAACAAGTTCCAGCTCTTTATTGCTCACTGATAAAAAAACGTTTTTAATCACCAATCTAAACTCTTTGTCCCCTAATCCATAAGACCATAAGATGTAGAAGCAGAAGAAAGCTACTCAGCCCATCACAGGAAAATACAAGCAGGACAGTTCAGTCAGCTGTCAAGCCCATTTAACATGATCATGGCTAATCAAACTCTTCAGTGCCTTTTACTAACCTCATCCTCATAACCAAGTCCCCCACTGGTAATCAGACATCTAACAATCTCCACCTTAAAAATTCTCAGAGAACGAGCCACCAGAACCCCCCGTGGTAGAGAACTGGAAAGGTTCACAATCCTCCAAGTAAAATAATTTCTCCTCATTCTGACCTAGTAGCATACCCCTTATTTTTAGACTATGGCACCTGGTTTTAGACTCCCCATCCATGGAAATATTTTACCTGCATCTACACTATCCCTTTAAGTATTTCGTAGGTTTCAATGAGATCACCTCTCATTCTTTGAAACTCTATAGAACATGGACCAGTTTGCCCAAGTGCTCTTCATACGATAGTCCTGCCATCCCAGGAACGAGCCCATCATTCAACTAGATTGTGGCTGGTCTGATCATTCTCAACTTCACTTTCCTGCTATTTCCCCTTAACCCCCTTTGATTAAAAAACTGGCTATTTCGGCCTTGAAACTATTCAAAGACCCAGCCTCTAAAGCTGTCTGTGGTAAAGAATTTCACAGATTCACTACCCTCAAAGAAATTCTTCCTCATCTCTGTCTTAAAAGGGTGACTCCTTCCTTTAAGGTTATGCCATCTAGTCGTAGACTCTGTCACAAGGGAAAATAACATTTCCACATCTACCCTGTCAAGTTCCCCCAAGAATTTTGTATGTTTCAATAAGATTGCCTCTCATTTAAAAAAAAATTTTTAACAAGACTCAACATTGCCTCATAAGATTATACCTAATACCTGAGTCAACCTAGTGAACCTTATCCACTCCTCCCACCTCAAGCCCCACCCCCACCCCCACCTCCTACCTACCAGCCTCATCCCGCCTCCTTGACCTGTCCATCCTCCCTGGACTGACCTATTCCCACCCTAACTCCCCACCTACACTCACCTTTACTGGCTTCATACCTGCCTCTTTGACCTGTCTGTCTCCTCTCCACCTATCTGCTCCTTTATCCATCTTCCATCCGCCTCCCCCTCTCTCCCTATTTATTTCAGAATCCCCTTCCCCTCCCCTGTTTCTGAAGAAGGGTCCAAACCCGAAACATCAGCTTTCCTGCTCCTCTGATGCTGCTTGACCTGCTGTGTTCATCCAGCTCTACACCTTGTTATCTCAGATTCTCCAGCAGCGGCAGTTCCTCCTATCTCCAATACCAGTATATTTTTCCTCAGATAAGGGGACCTAAACTGCTCACAACATTCCAGGAATGGTCTAACTACTGTCTTGTATAATTTTAGCAAGAGTTCCCTATTTTTATACTCCATTCCCTTTGAGGTCTACTTTTATGTAGTAGCTGAGTGGTATTATTGTTAGACCACTAATCCAGAGACACTGGTAATGTTTTGGGAACCAGGGTTCGAATCCCGCCATGGCAGAATTTGAATTCAATAATAATTGGGAAATAAGAATTTAATGATGAGCATGAAATTATTGCTGATGGTCAGGAAAAACCCATCTAATTCACTAATGTCCTTTAGGAGAGGAAACTGCCATCCTTACCTGGTCTGGTCTACATGTGACTTCAGACGCACAACAACTTGATTATTAAATGCCCTCTGGGCAATTAGGGATGGACAATTAATGCTGGTCTAGCCAGTGACACCCACATCCTACGAAGAAAAGTCCTCATACCATCAGCTAATTGGAACAGTTTTTCCTTCTCTTCTTTAACCAAACTAGTCAATCTTGTTCATATCGTCTAAAAATCATTTGCTCCAAGATGGACACCACCAGCTTCCCTAATTCCTCATTCTTAGTTCTGATAAGCTTTCTCTGCACCCTCTCAAGGCCTTTCACATCCTTCCTGGTGTGTGGTGGCCAGAACCTGATGCAATATTCTAGCCTAATCAGACCTACCCTGCTTTTATGCTCAATATCAAATTGCAGCACAATATTGCACACACTTCGCTAACCACTCTCACAATCTGCCCTGTCACAATCAAAGATCTTTCCAGTTTTATAACATTGTCAGACGTTACTCAATCTCAAGATGACCTGCTGCTCAAACGCTCAATCATGCCTTCATTATCTCTGACTATTCCAATGCTCACCTGATTGATCATTGATCTGGTTGGGAAGTTGATAGAATGGAAGAAGAAAAAGAGTGAGAATAACAGCAGGTACTCTAATTGACACAATGTAACCAGTGGTTTCACACAAGGGTCTCTGCTGCCTCAACTATTCTTTGTATTCAGTAATGACTTGGATTACAAGACAGAAAGCCACATATCTAGTTGCCAATGCCTCAAAGACAGATAGCAGTGTAGGTGGAAGCATAAAAATACAAAAAATGTAGAGATTAATGAGAGAATGGGCAAAACTATGGCAAGTGAATTTCAATAAGCAAATGTAAGTACCTAAAAAGGACAGGTCAAGGTAATTTCAAAATGGTGAAAAGCTAGAGGCAGAGGTCCAGAGATTTAGGCATCCATGTACACAGGTCATCAAACTGTCATGAACAGATAGAAAACAAAAATCTAAAAGATAATGGAATGCTGGTCTTTATAGCTAGACAATTAGAATAGAAAGAGTTAGAAGTTATGTTCCATTTCCACAATGCCCTGACACTACAGCACCTGGAATACTGTGAAAAGTCTGGGCACCACAGACTCAGAACTGGGGAGTCTACCACTTAGGATTGAAGTGAGGAAACATTTCTTCAGTTAAATTGTTGTAAATCTTAGGAATTCTTCACCCCAGGGGACTCTGGATGTTCTGTCCTCGTACATTCAAATCAGAGATGAATAGATTCTTGTGCACTAAGTAAATGAGAAGGCAGAATTGTGGACGCTTTCTACGTGGACTTCAGAAAAGCATTCGACAAGGTTTCACAAGGTAGACTGGTTAGCAAAGTTAGATCACATGGAATCCAGGGAGAACTAGCCATTTGGATACAAAATTGGCCTGAAGGTAAGAGACAGATGGTGGTGGTGCAGTGTTGTTTTTCAGACGGAGGCCAGTGACCAGCGGCGGTATGCTCCAAGGATCGGTGCAGGGCCCACTGTTTTTCGTCATTTATATAAATGATTTGGATGTGAATAAACGAGGAATGGTCAGAGAGTTTGCAAATGACACCAAACTTTGCGTTGTGGTAGACAGTGAGGAATGTTATCTCATAGCACAACAGAATCTTGATTAGATGGGCCGAGGAGGGGCAGATGGATTTAGTTTAGATAAATGTGAGGTGCTGTATTTTGGAAAGGCAAATCAGGGCAGGACTTACACACTTAATGGTAAGGTCCTAACAGTGTTGCCGAACAAAGAAACCTTGGGGTGCAAGTTCATAGTTCCTTGAAAGTGGAGTCACAGGTAGACAGTTTAGTGGAGAAAGCGTTTGGTACACTTACCTTTATTGGTTAGTGCATTGAGTATAGGAGTTGGGATGTCATGTTGCAGCTGTAGAGGATATTAGGCCACTTTGGAATACTGCATGCGATTCTGGTCTCCCTGCTATTGGAAAGATGTCATTAAATTCGAGAGGGTGCAGAAAAGATTTACAAGGATGTTGCCAGGATTGGAAGGTTTGAGCTATAAGGAAAGGGTGAATAGGCTCTGGGGCTACCTTCCTGGAGCATCAGAGGCTGTGGGGTGACCTTACAGGGGTTTATAAAATCGTGAGGGGCATGGATAAGGTGAATAGCCCAGGTGTTTTTCCCAGGGTAGGACAGTTCAAGACGAGAGGGCATAGGTTTAAGGTGAGAGAGGGAAGATTTAAAAGAGACCTAAGGGGCAACCTTTTCACGCAGAGGGTGGTGCATGTATGGAATGAGATGCCAGAGGAAGCGATAGAGGCGGGTACAATTACAACATGTAAAAGGCATCTGGATGGGTATATGAATAGGAAGAGTTAGAGGGATATGGGGCCAAATGCTGGCAAATGGGACTAGACTAATTTAGGTCTTCTGGTCAACATGGATGATTGGACCATGCTTGCAGGTTGAGTGGAAAGGCAGTGTTGGGTAAGATGATCTGCCATGATCTTACTGAATGATGGAAAAGATCTGAGAGGTTGAATAGATCTCTCTAGCTCCTATTTGTCATGTTCTTGATTGCTCATTTTAAATCCAAGATTGATTTTAAAAAATTAGAAGACACTAAGAAAAATGGAGTAAAAGAAGGTGTACAGAGTTTGACTATAGATTAGTATAAACCTACTGAATGGCAGAACAAACTTGAGAAGGTACATGACCCACTCCTGTTCATGTGATACAAAGCAGCAATGGCAATTTCAACAATTACAAAGTCAACTGTTTGGATTCTGAATCATGCCCCACCTGTTGGTGTCTCTGGCCACATCCTCATAGACACTCTGTACCCCAATCTCCAGCCGTGTACACCCATATTGCAGCATGTCACTGAGATGGCGCTTCAGGCAGTAGTCTGGTCTGGTCTCAATGGTGATGCCAACACACTTGGTATTGCTGCGCTCAGAGTACCTGAAATCAGATTAAAAACATTGGCAGTAATGCCAAAACGAGTGCCTCTCACATAGTGCTGGGTCACTGGTAATATCCAGCTTAAACCAGTCACATACAGTCATCTTCAAATACAGTACATTCAGGCCATAGTCATCACCATTGCCAGAAACATGAAAGGGACTTAGTTACAACATCGCTCAGGAAGATTATAGAGGGAGGAAACAAATCAAATCTTATCTGTGAGGGCCATCCTTCACGCACACAGTTATAAAGATCATTTTGAGGCCACTCTGCTTATTCCCTGGTTTTAACAGACTCAAGCTGATTATAACTTAACTCAGCACTAGTCACTGCTTCTCAATAACAGAAAGCACCTTGCAGTTACACATCAGCTTTCAGAAGACATAGTAAAACATTCCAAGATGTTTCATGACAGTGGGATCAGACAAAAATTAACAGCCAGTCAAAATATTAAGAAAAACACTAAGAACACTATCAAAACACTCAGACAAAAAGGTGGAAAATAAGGAAAGTCTTTTGAGGTTGGTTGGCTCGCCGAGCTGGTTTGTTGTTTTGCAGACATTTCGTTACCATGCTTGGTAACATCCTCAGTGCAGCCTCCGATGAAGTGTCGGTGTGTTTTCCCGCCTGGTTTTTAAACTCTGGCGTCCGTTGAGATGGATTGCCTCACTTCTGGCTCTCCTTCGTAGTGGAATGTATATGGGGTTGAGTTCAATGTGTTTATTAATAGCATACTTTGTGGAGTGCCATGCTTCCAGGAATTCTCATGCTTGTCTCTGCCTAGCCTGTCCTAGGGTTTTGGTGTTGTCCCAGTCGAAGTCGTAGTTCTCCTTGTCCATGTGGATTGAGATGAGTGAGTGTTGGTCGTGTCTTTTTGTAGCCAGTTGGTGTTCATGTACTCTTGTTGTTAGTTTCTTTCCTGCTTGTCCGATGTAGTGTTTCTCGCAGTCTCTGCAGGGGATTTTGTAGATGACATTGGTCCTGTTCATGGCGGGGAGTGGGTCTTTAGTTCGGGTGAGCAGTTGTCATAGGGTTGATGTGGGCTTGTGTGCCACTCTGATGCCCAGTGGTCGTAGGCATCTTGTGGTGAGTTCCGACGTGTTCCTGATGTAGGGTAGTGTGATGAGTGTGTGGGGGCGTATAGAATCTTTCTGATGCTGTTCGTGTAGGCATCTTCTGACCCAGTTCTTTGGATATCCATTATCCTTGAACACTTGGAAGAGGTTTTTTCTTCCTCTTGGCGTAGTTCTGTGTTGCTGGAGTGTGTTGTTGCCCTTTTAAATAGTGTTCACACGCAGCTTCGCTTGTGTGTGCTGGGGTGGTTACTATTGAAGTTCAGTACCTGGTCTGTGTGTGTGGCTTTTCAGTGTACTTTTGTTTGCAGTTCCCCATTTATCTTGCGCTCTACCATGACATCCAAGAATGGGAGCTGCTTGTTCTTCTCCTCCTCTCTGGTGAATCTTATTCCAGTGAGGGTGTTATTTATAAGTTTGCGTGTCTCTTCTAATTTGGTCCTTTTAATGATGACAAAGGTGTCATCTACGTAGCGTATCCACAGTTTAGGTTGGATTTGCGGAAGAGCAGTCCTTTGCAGGCTTTGCATCACTGCTTCTGCTATGAGTCCGGAGATAGGAGATCCCATGGGTGTCCCGTTGATTTGCTCATATGTTTGGCCGTTGAAGGTGAAGTGGGTGGTCAGGCATAGGTCCAATAGTTTGAGCATGTTGTCCTTGGAGATGGTTTCACTGGGGTCGTCTTCTTTGTTCAAGTAGTGTTGTCATTGTTTCCCTTGCTAGTGGTATGTCTATTGATGTGAATTGAGCGTGGCTTCCAGTGTAGCTAGGAATTCCGTTTTGTTGGCGTCCCTGTAGTTGTAGTTCAGTCCTCGGGTGAGAACGGCTTTTCCCGTGTCTGTCAGTTTCCTGTCAGAGGTTTCTTATCCATGTGTCTGTTCTGTTGTTGTTGTTTTTGTGGGTAAGTGTGGCTAGCTTGTCTTGCAGGGTCTGTCTTTTCTTGGCTCTTGTGGTCTGTTGGCTGATGTTAATGGCTCGTTCCATGTCAGTTGTCCAGTCTTGATAACGTTTTTTGGCACGTGTTTTCTGTTGTATTTAAAACCAGAGTTTAAAAACCAGGCAGGAAAACACACCAACGCTTCATCGGAGGCTGCTCTGAGGATGTTACCAAGCATGGTAACGAAACATCTGCGAAACAACAAACCAGCTCGGCGAGCCAACCAACCTCAACACCCACAACCAGAGCTACAGATCTACTCCAAAACCTTAAAGGAAAGTCTTAAACGAAGAGAGGTGGAAAGTGTTAGAAAGGGAGACACAGACCTAAAGGGATGGCCTCCAGCAGTGGAGGGATTAAAACTGGGGATGTATGCAAGACCAGAGTTAAGGGTTTTGAGGAGCAGGGACACTGTATTTCAGTGAGCACAGTGAGGGTGATGGGTGAGTGCACTTGATTCAAGCCACAGTCAGTACTCCCTTGTTTTAATGCTACTCTAGATGTGCCACAGGGAGGGGCCTGATTAGGGATAATCAGAACCATTGATTAATATTGCCTGGTCTTTGAAGTCTCAGAACAAACGTGAGCATCAGAACATGACACGTGATAGAGAAAAGTCAGCACAAGCTGTCTTGACATTGCCCTGCAGCTAACTTTTCATTTTTGCCATATACAAGGATTGCTGGCTACTTGAACCTGCCAGTCTACAGGAATGACTGATCAACTCTCACCTCTCTGTCCAGCTGACTATTCTCTTGTTTGATCCACCCTCAATAATCACACACATGGTTTCAGATTGATGGTTCATTAAAAAAGCTATTATTTAGAATCTAAACATCAAAACAATAAATTTCCCAGTGAATTAAAAAACATAAAAATCTGTGTTAATAAATGGTATACTTTGCCAATCAATATTCAATCACCAGTTTCTCAATTTGAGCAGGTGCTGAAACAGAAGCTTGTTAAAATCTGACTGCAGGAAAATTACCTCTTCAATGAAAGTGACGAAGAACACTGCGGTCTTAAGAGTTGTATCAATAATTATCTCAGTCAGTGGCTGTAAAACCAAGGCAGTTGCCCCACTTTCTGGTCAATGCTTCTGGACTATTCCATGGAAATTGAAATCCGCAATGTTTCTGGACAATGATGTTATCTCATCTGATATTTGTCAGTTTTCCTTTGCTGCTTTGCAATTGATCTTCCCTGTTTGGAATACCCTGCCCGGTCAGGAGAACAGACTTCCCAATCTAGAGTCTAACACATGGACAATGCTTCGCAGAGCATAATACACGACACTCAATGTCCAGATTGCTCTCTAGACATTCCTCCCCTCAAGGGGTCAGTACCTAATCGGCTCCCTTGACACCCTCCCCTCCACAAGTCAGTGTCTTGATTGCTAGCTCGACAGTCTTGCCCTTCAAGGGTCTTCATCTCAATTGTACTACCAATAGGCTGCTCAGAGATCAGTGGCATGACTGTCCCACTCCCAGAGGATCTGTGGTTGGACTGATCTCTGGAATTCTTTTCTTCCAGGTTCTGTGTCATTTCAACTCTCTAGTTACTACACCCCTTTCATGATCTGAATCTAGAATTACTCTTTGGGCTTGACACCCTACCAGGGCTTTGTTTCCAGTCTTCCCTTTGAACAGTCTCATTGTCACTTCCTATACGCCACGTCATTGTTTAGAATCCACAACAATCTAAGGAACTTCTATGAATAGCAAATTGACAGTAGAGAACCAACATACTGTTCACTGATGTTGTTTAGTACCAAACCTGCCCCTGTGCTCCCCCACTGCCAACAATGCTTCACAAATTCCTTGTTCAGGAAATTCCTAACATTTCAATCCAGCAAACAAAATCATGACCCACGTTCAAAAATTTCCTCAAAACGTCATGAGCCCCTGGCAGACTGGTGTCCACAGAAACCTTTTTATCCAAACCGTACTGTTCCTTGAGGTGTTGCAAGAGAAAAGAACTACCTGCCTTCCTGCATGTAGGCAATGCTACATAAATACAAATTCCCATGGCTCCATCTCCAGTGTTGCAAAATTACCTTTGCAGCATCCTGTCTGAAGTTTTAACAAGGAGAGTTGATAGGAGTCAGTATCAACATATAAATATACGAAATAGAAATAGAAAGAAGATGACTATTCAGCTAACCCTGAGGAAGGATCACCAGGCACAAAACGTTAACTCTAATTTTTTCTTCACAGATGCTGCTGGATCTGCTGAGCTTTTGCAGCAACTTTGTTTTTGTTCATGACTATTCAGCTCTGAGTCCATTCAAAATGGTTGACTGTTTGTATTTTGAATTCCACTTCTCATCTACTGCTGAAAGCTTTTTGTTAGGCAATACCATCAAAGATTATCTACCTCTTTTTTAAAAATATTCAATGGCCCCTCTTCTACTACTTTTTGAGGCAGAGGGTTCCAAAAGTCACAACACTCAAAAAAAAACTCCCCTCATCTTTGTCCCAAAAAAGTGACTGCTAATTTTTAAACTACCCCCTTGTTCTGGAATGATGCACAAGAAGAAATATTTTTCCAAGTCCAGACCATTCAAGATCTTACACGTCAAATAAGTCACCCCTCACTCTTCTAAGGCTCTAGTGGAAACAAGCCAGCCTGTCCAACCCTATCCACTTAAGTCAACCTATTCATTCCAGATAACAATCTAGTTAACCACCTCCAACACACTGACATTTACAGCAGAACAGATTCCTGTAACAGCACAGCTCTGAATCTGGATCATGAGCAACAAGTCACTAATTCAGAAAAGTGCTCTTAATTAGACTATCTCCGTTCCAAGCACTTCTCTCATAGAGTCACATTTATAGGAAGTTTCTTCTGTGTGAAGTAAAGTTGAGTAGGCATTTGATCCAGTCCAGAATCATTCACTTCAAACCATCAATAGTGGGCAAGAGGGTTGGCTTCATCTCATCAGTTAAAATGAGCTACAAGCTATCATCAACGCATTCGCCGAGGTGTATGCGAGAACGAACTCAGACTAAACATCCGGTAAAAATAAAAGGTTCTCTACTAGCCCACTCCCGCCACACAACAACCAAGGGAATACATGATGAACCCTGGGAAGCACTAAGGATTAGAGGGGCCTTCTTGTGCATGTACACCGATTCCTTACGGTACCAGGACAGATGGACAAAGTGGTTTCGCTTTTATTAGGGCATAGAGTTTAAGAGCAGAATGGTAATGTTGGAACTATAAAAAATCGTTGCTTAGGCCACAGCTAGAGTACTGTGTGGAGTTCTGGAATCCACAAAATTGGAGGGATTGGATAGCACCGGAGAACGTGAACACAGAACATAGAACAGTACAGCACAGTACAGTACAGGCCCTTCGGCCCACAATGTTGTGCCTACCTATTATCCTACTAAGAGCAATCTACCCTGCATACCCTACATTTTACTATCCTCTATGTGCCTATCTAAGAGCCGCTTAAAAGTCTCTAAAGTATCTGACTCCACTACCACTGCCGGCAGTGCATTCCACACGGCCACCACTCTCTGTGTGAAGAACCTACCTCTGACATCTCCCCTATACCTTCCTCCAATCACCTTAAAATTATGTCCCCTCGTAATAGTCATTTCTGCCCTGGGAAAAATTCTCTGGCTATCCAATCTATCTGTGCCTCTCATCATCTTGTACACCTCTATCAAGTCACCTCTCATCCTTCTTTGCTCCAATGAAAAAAGCCCTAGCTCTCCCAACCTTTCCTCATAAGACCTGCCCTCCAGTCCAGGCAGCATCCTGGTAAATCTCCTCTGCACCCTCTCTAAAGCTTCCACATCTTTCCTATAATGAGGTGACCAGAACTGAACACAATACTCCAAGTGTGGTCTAACCAGAGTTTTATAGAGCTGCAGCATAACCTCATGGCTTTTAAACTCAATTCCCCTGCCAATGAAAGCCAACACACCATATACCTTCTTAACAACCCTATCAACTTGGGTAGCAACTTTGAGGGATCTATGGACCTGGACCCCAAGATCCCTCTGTTCCTCCACACTGCCAAGAATCCTGCCATTAACTCTGTATTCTGCATTCAAATTCAACCTTCCAAAATGAATCACTTCATACTTTTCTGGGTAGAATTCCATCTGCCACTTCTTTGCCCAGCTCTGCATCCAGTCAAATTCCCATTGCAACCTACAACAGCCCTCCACGCTGTCCACAACTCCACCAACCTTCGTGTCATCGGCAAACTTACTAACCCACCCTTCCACTTCCTAATCCAAGTCATTTATAAAGATCACAAAGAGCAGAGGTCCCAGAACAGATCCCTGCGGAACACCACTGGTCACCGAGCTCCAGGCTGAATACTTTCCATCTACTACCACCCTCTATCTTCCATTGGACAGCCAGTTTTGTATCCAGACAGCCAAATTTCCCTGAATCCCATGCCTCCTTACTGACCAAATGAGCCTACCATGTGGAACCTTATCAAATGCCTTGCTAAAATCCATATACACCACATCCACTGCTCTACCTTCATCGATTTGTTTTGTCACATAATCAAAGAATTCAATGTGCACAGGAGATTTACCAGGATACTGCCTGGTTTGGACAGGTTCAGGAATGGACAGATGGATTGTTTTCCTTACAGCAAACGAGGAGAGAGGGGACATGATTGAGATGTATAAAATTATGAGGGGCATAGATTGGAATACAAGAAGGAACTTTTCCCCTTGGTGGAGGGATCAATGCCAGAGGCACTGATTTAAGGTAAAGGGCAGGAGTTTTAGAGCAGATGAGGATATTTCTTTTTCACCTCGAGGGTGGTAGAAATCTGGAACCCTCTGCCTGTAAGGATGGTAGATGCAGAAACCCTCATAACATTTAAGGAGTATTTTGATGTGCACTTGTGATGTCAAGATGTACAAGACTATGGGCCAAGTGATTGAAAATGAGATTACAGTAGTTAGGTGCTTATGTTTGACTAGCGCAGACGCAATGGGCTGAAGGTCCCTTTTCTGTACAGTAGACCTCCATGACACTAACTTTATGTCAGCAGTTACTACACGTAGTAGCAGCAATGGATAGCATAAATGCACTTCAGGGAAGGTCTGCTGAAAATACTATTTATTCATGTAACTGTAAAACAATGCAGGAATTGCTTACACAGTCAGCTAATACTACCCAGAAGCTCAACATCGTCCAGGGCAACGCACCGAGCTGGGCTGACATCCTATACACTACCTTTAACATTCACTCCTTCCACCACTGGTGTACAGTGGCAGCAGAAACAAACACAGAGGGTGCTAGAGAAACTGCAGGTCTGGCAGCATCTGTGGAAAGAGAAACTGGGTTAATGTTTCGAGCTTGATATAACTCTTCAGAAATGAATGGTGTTGGAAAACAGGATTAGAGAGGAAAAGAGACAGAAAGAAGAGAAGGCAATGAAAGGAAAGAAACAATGAAGGAGTGATGTGGCCTCTGTTCAAGCCTTACAGATCCCACACCCTCAGAAGGTTAGACAGGTTAGAATGGTTTCCAGTTGAGTTTAGAAGAGTTGGGGGTGACTTAATTGAAGTATATCAGACCCTGAATGGTCTTGACATGTTGGACATGGAAAAGATAGTTCCTCTTGAGGTTAAGTCCAGAATTAAGGGGCACATTTTATTTTAAGATTAGGGTTTGCCCTTTCAGGACAGAGTATGCCCCACAGCTAGCTAACATTCGTAGCTGTGAGGACCTGCAGCTAGCCATAGGACACTAGCTGCAAGGGTCCACAGCTAACAACACTGTGGGTCACAACTAACCAAATGCCAGCACATGTGAGGGCCCATAGTTAGCTATCAGTCAGCTAATTGACACCAGTAGCTAAGGGGCTTCACAGTTCATGCTATGAAAGAAGCCGTGAGACTGCGTTGCATCTGAACTGAGAAAGTTACCAGTTGAGAGGATTTGGGCTTCCCTCTGCTGGAAATAAATAGTCACTGCAGGGATAGCAAATGATTTCAGATATCAACTGCATCACAATTCAAACCTGTGTGAATTAACAGACCTGGAAAAGTGTGTGGGTGCACGCGTGTGTGTACGTGAGTGCGCATGCAGGCATGTGTATGCATATGTGCCTGCATGTTTGCATGTAGGGTTGGAAGTGTTGCAATATTACAATCAATGCTTCACCCAACTAATCCAGCAGAGGAACAGATCTTAGCAATGCACATCCATCACAGTCTCCAAGTCCAATCAAGCAAGAGGTTTCCTATTCCATCAACCCAATCTTCAAACTGATTACTTACTTGACAGCCTCTGCCACATTGTTGGAGGTGTGACCGGAGAGGGCATCATGCAGGTTACGGATGAAGTAATCCCTGTATTCTTCTGGCAGCGCCATAAAAGTCCCACCCATCACAATGAACTCAACCTTGTCCACACTGTGTCCCAACTGTTTTAACTGAAATGAGATAAAGATGGAGGAAAAGGGGACAGTAGGATAATTGCATTGACAAACCTCAATTGCAATCACTTGTTTACATCACTGTTAATTACAGTACTAAAAATTTGCTGGACATTCACATTTTCTCTAAATATCATTTGGATCCTCCAACACTGTTCCATTTTCATCATGATTCCTCATCGAGCCTTCACAACATGCAAGATTTAGATGACAGACTGATTGCTGAGAGACCTGGACCAGTTGGTTGTTAAGATGTTGATTCCTAGCCTGGAGAATCCAAAACTAAGGAACTCTGGATATGGGGACGGCCACGAAGGACTGAAGTGAGGAGAAATTCCTTCACTTGGAGGTTTGTGATTATTTGATACTCTTCATACCAAAGGGCTGTGGATACTCAGTGTTATATATGTTAAGCTGAAATTAATATTTTTAACTCAATGGTACCAAGGTTTGAAAGTAAGACCATGCATTAAGGTCAGAGATCAGTATAATTTTATTAAATGGCAGAGTAAGCTCGAGTCCATACACGCTATTCCTGCCCCTATTTCTATGTTCTTCTGACAGAATCCTCCCAGTTCCTTATCCCAAAAGTGGTGCCGTGGGTCACCAAGAGATATCTTGCCGCTTCACCAAGAATCTTCTCCACAGTTTTTATACTTTAATCACTGTTTTCCATTTCCCTATTGAAAAGCAGCCGAGACCACTAGACAATCTGCCCCAGAATGAGGAGACACCAGGTCAACAGACGGAGCCAATAAGGCTGCTTCACTGCTTGATTTTGGTGTCAAACACAATTAACACATTCCAACAATAACCACAGTCAAAGGTCTGCAAAGTAACATCTATCATATACTGAATTTGACATGAAACACAGGATAATGGGGCCATAATTTCAAATATTCCTCAATCATCTGCTCTAGCATGCAATTCACAAAACTTTCAAAATAATATCACAATTTGGGGCCAGGCTAAGAAATGCTAGTAGATGGACAGAGTTTGATCCCTATGAAAGAGGCAAACGACAGGCTTTGAACTGCACGTACCTGCTCCACACGGTGTCTTGTTTGTAAGTAGGGGTCATATCTTGCACGTATGGCTCGCATTGAGGTTGGCTATTTTGAAGGGAATACAGTTAAATGTCTAATGCTGACGATTTGGCAAGCTTGCAAAATAAAACAATCCTTACAGAATGGCTAAGACAGCAAGAACTGCAGATGCTAGAGTCAGAGACAACACAGTGTGGAGCTGGAGGAACACAGCAGGCCAGGCAGCATCAGAGGAGCAGGAAAGTTGACATTTTGGGTCAGGACCCTGCTTCAGAAATGGGTGGGGGAAGGGAGCTGGGAAATAAATAGAGAGAAGAGGAGGTGACTGCAGGTAAGGAGTGGTGGGGATTGGTCAATGAGATGGGTAGGATGGATAGGTGGGAGAGAAGATGGACAGGTTGTGTCAAGTCAAGGAGGCAGGAGGGAGGATGGGTGAGGCTGGGGAAAGGCAGGTGGGATGTTGATAGGTGGATGCAGGTAGCAGGTAGTGGGGATTGGTCAGTGGGAAGGGTGGGGTGGATAGGATGGAAGAAGATGGACAAGTTGTGTCAGGTCAAGGAGGCAGGGATGAGAGGGCGGGTTGGATATGAGATGAGGCCGGGGGTGGGGAGATTTTAAAACTGGTGAATTCCATATTTAGGCCATTGGGCTGTAGGCTCCTGAGGCAGAATGTGAGGTGTTGCTCCTCCAGTTTGCGTGTGGTGTCATTGTGACACTGGAGGTGGCCCAGGATGGACATGTCACCCAGGGAGTGGGAGGGGGGAGTTAAAATGGCTGGCGACCGAAGGTGCTGTCGTTTGTCGCGTACAGAGCGCAGTTGCTCTACAAAACGGTCTCAGAGTCTACACTTGGTCTCACCCATGTACAGGAGGCCACATCGGGAGCAGTGGATATAGTAGATCAAGTTGACAGATGTACAGGTGAACCCCTGTCTGATGTGAAAGGTTCGTTCTGGGCCTTGAATGGAGGCAAGGGGGGAGGTGCAGGAGCAGGTATAGCACTTCTTACCGAACATTCGGCCCGTGTAACAATCATAAATCATTTTAGCTTTTGAGATTTTACATAAACATTATTTAAATTGGAAGGGGGAATTTAATGGGGAAGGGGAAGGGGAATTTAATGGGGAAGGGGAGAAGAGTGTAATGGGGACAGTGGGTACAGGGGGAGGGTGAAGGCACGCATGTGCGCCTCCTCCCTGTCACTGTCCCCATTTGTGTGCACGCCATCCCACTACCTGCCCCACCTCCGACTCCCAGTCCTTTACACACACACTCCCCGCTCCCCCACTTCCTGCACTCATGCCAAACTTACTGATACCAAGTAGTATAAAAGGCACATTGTTATTGTTGGTGAATTGCCTGGAGATGCTGGGAACACATGTATGTCCTTACCTCATACCCTGTGTAAGACTGAGTTGAATATTCGAAGTCTGAATCTGGACCCCCAGGGCAGTATCTGGAATTCAAAACTAATTTTTAGTTTTATACCCAAATCATTTTTGTCAGAATATGTCTGTTTAGATCTTCTTACTCCGTATTAGCTAGCTCTTTCTTCTCATGACTTTCTGTACAATGGAAACTATCAGTTCCATAATGTAAATGTTTTTCAATTTTTGACACACTGTCTCAATTCCTTGCTCCACGATGGTTTGGAGTAATTCATACACATTCTTCCCCACACCAGTCATGTAACTTATAAAATCTCAGAATAGCATGCACAGGACGCTATTTGTCTATCAAGTTAATTCTAGGTCTCTCAAAGAAAAATTAGTCTCACTCCTCCCAGTCCTTCCCGATATCTTTGCAACTTTTTCTCCTTTACTATCGGTCCAATTTCCTTTGGAAACATTATAATTGAATCTGAGCCCACCATCCTATTAAGCAGTAAAAGTCAAATCTTAACCATTTGCTGCGTAAAAACACTTTTCTTCATGTAACCTCTGGTTCTCTTTAATTTTGGGCCCTCGGGCTATTAATCTTTCAGACACTGGAAATAGTGTTTAGTTAGACACTTCATTAATTTTAACAATGATTATTAATGCAACTGTAATCAGTCATCCCTGGACCATTCCAATAAATCACTTGTGCAGAAAACACAAAGTTAACAGGCGGAATCTCCAAGCAATTGGGAAGGTAAATTCTATGTTGGCCTTTATTCATGGGGATATTGAAGGGGATTATGCATTTTGGCATGAAAAATAGAGGAGCATTATTTAAATCGAGAATGACTGCAGAAAGCTACAGAAGAGCGATTTGGGAGTCTTCACGCATGAATCACAGAAAGCTAGCATTCAAGTTCAGCAGATGGAATATTGGCCTTTATTTCAAAGGGAATGGAGTATAAAAGTAGGGAGATTTTGTTAAAACTGTACAAAACACTGGTCATAGCACAATTGGAACTGAACAGTTTTGGGCCCCTTATCTAACAGAAGATACATTGGCATAGGTGGCAGTCCAGAGATTCACTTGGTTGATTCCAGACATGGAGGCACTGCTTTATGAGGAGATGTTGAGTAGATTGGGACTGTATTTGTTGGAATATAGAAGCATGTGAGGCAACCTTAATGAAACATATAAGATTCTTCGAGGACTTGACAAGGTAGATGTGGAGATACCAAAACAATTAGTGCGAGAGAATCCTTGTGGGAGAGTCGAGGATCAGAGGATATAGCCTCAGAGTAAAAGGTCACACATTTAAGATGGCAATGAGAGGAATTTCTTTTCTCAGAGGGTAGTGAATCTGTGGAATTCTTTAGCACAGACGGCTATTGAAGGAGGTATTCATTCAGTATAATAAAGGCTGTGATAAACAGATTTTTAATCAGTAAGGGAATTAAGAGTTATGGAGAAAAGGCAGGAAAGTTGAGTTGAGGATTATCAGGTCAGCCAGGATTTCATTGAATGGTGGAGCAGACTGGATGACTGAAGGGCCTACTTCTCCTCCTATGTCCTACAGGAGGAGGGATAAAAGATAAAAGATAAAAGATAAAGATAGGACATATTGGTATAATTGTACAGGGCTTTGGTGATACACCTGGTGTAGTGTGTACAGGTTTGGTCTTTGTATTTAATGAGGAATGCACTTGCCTTAGAAGGTGTGGAAAAAGGTTCACTAGAATGATTCCTAGAATGAGCACAAAGTAGAATGAGAGTATACTTCTGGACTTCAGCTGAATGAGAAGTTACTGAATTGAATCATAAGATTCTGAGAAAGGCTTGACAGCGTAGAGAGGCTCTGGAGGAGCTGTTCCCCCTGTCAAGTTACAAATTAGAGACTATAGTACTGGGTTGGTCATTTAGAGCCGAGATGAGGAGAAGTTTCTGCTCATAAGGATATACTGGCCCAGACATGATGGGCCGAAGGACATCCTTCTGTAACAAATTTGATTGTGGAATTGTGGATCTTGGAATTAACTTATCAAGTAAGCTGTGGGATCCAGTAACTGAGCACATTCAAAGATTTTTTTTGGATTCCAATGCGAGTGCAAAATATGGAAGTAGGGCATGAAAATGAATTCAGGTCAAAGGTCAGCCATGAACTTACTGAATGACACAGAGATAGTAGGAACTGCAGATGCTGGAGAATCCGAGACAACAAGGTGCAGGGCTGGATGAACACAGCAGGCCAAGCAGCATCATAGGAGCAGAATGACACAACAGGTTCAAGAAGCTGTCATTTTTCTGCCCGTTCCACCAGCCTGTCTACTTCCTCTTGAAATCTATTATCTTCCTCACTGTTTTGTGCCATGTATACATTTTGAAATTACAGCCTGTATGACTAAGCCCAAGTGATCAGTGTATTTCAAAATCACCAGTGGCCCTGATGCTTTAGGAGATTCCAATATATAACTCCTTCCAGTCTGGCAAACAGCAGTCCAATTTGTTTTGCTTTATTACTGAAACAATTTTGTATACATGCTGGTAACAAGTCCAATATGTGGTACGTTATAAAACACATTTTGAACATCATACACACCAGCTATCCTCCCTACTTACTATAAAATATATTAATCAAGTTAGTCAAGTATGATTTGTTCCACGTTGGCTTTTCTTTTGTTACTCCATTTTCTAAGGTAGCTATTTAAACAAAACTAAAATCAAATTTCTCCACCACTGTTATTAAAATGACAGCCCTCTAATTGCCAGGTTTATTCTTCTCCTTACATTCAAACAAGGTCAATATTTCTAATCCTCTAATATATTCTAGCACTACTTGTTATCTAAAGAGGATTAGAGGACTGTGATCTGCGCATTGGAGATTTTTACCCTTACAGGCTGTGAACTAACCTTAGCGTTAACAATTGCATAACAAGACTATCACTTGCAACTTGCAAACTAACCATCCTCATTCCCTAGTTGAGATTGAATTAAATGCCAACACAACTTAGACAACGGCTGGACAGCCAAGTGGCTGTAAATCCCATGGGCTGCCTTGCATAGTTCATCCTCACACAACGAAGACAGGTGATCATGATACAGTTAATGAGCAATCCTCAAAAGTAGGGAATGGAAGGGGTGGGGTTTGGTGTTACCTACAGACTGGGTGCAAAGATATGTGCCTGGGGATCAGAGTCCCATCTCTGAATGATCACTCGTTGCGTAGAGTGAAGACATCTGTAGGTGCAGGGTAGAGGTTTCTTTGAAACAATGAGCTTAGAGAATTAACTAAGGAAAGAGTTGTGGCTATGGACAGATGATATGTTAATAAAGGAGGTGGAAGTGCAGCAAGCTACACAGATGGTCTGAGTTTGGCTGGCAAATAAATCTAAGTGATTCAGAAATCCATTGTTGAATGGCTGGGAGTTGGGGATGTGAAGAGGTAGTTCAACGTGGTTGAACCAGTGGCCCGAGCATGAAGTGAAATCTTGTGAACTTGCTTATTTCAGCAATAAACAGCAGCATGTAAACTTTAACTACTTCTATGGTAATTACCTTTCGTATGTTCTTTATGGCACATTTTTTAATTTTTTGCAAACCAACCAATTCCTGTAACCAAAGGACAGGCACTTCAGTGTAGCTCTGCAACACCACTCAAACCTTCAACAGGGCTGGTCTTGCTGGTTTTCTCTTACTAAAGCTGTCCACCAGCCAGACTGAGTGACAGGAAAACATCAAGACCTGTTCACAGCCCCTGCAGAACTTATGTCCATCAGTTGATGCAGATCAGCATTGACAGTATATTTTTACTTCCTGGACCACTGGAATTACCACTATTGTTAATGTAATGATAGAGCCACAGCAACTTTGTACAAAACTGGAGAGTGCTCTGTTTTCATTATTCCACTATGGGGAATGTGAGTGTAAAGAACAATGCGCTCTGAACAGTGAAGTAACAAGAATAATTAGCAACAAAACTTCCCCTTTTCATCAGTGGTGCATTCAAACACTGAGCATGAATGATAACTCAGTTGATAAACTATGTTGCTTCTAATAACTGAATTAAGGGGTCAACAGCAAATAAAATAAAGTTTCTTATAAAAAAAATCAGAGCTGATGTGAGAGAGCTTTAATTTCAGAGGACAGAACTTACACACAAATGTTTCCCGTGAAGGTGATGTGAGGACATCGGTGTGGTTTACACATCACTGCAACCACTGCAATCTGTGGACAGAGGCATGAGAGATTCTTAGAGAAACAAATAGCTGCATCAAGATGTATAAAACCAGAGTGGCTTTGAGTTCAAGATGGAAGCTAGTAACCTAGGGCATGATGTCCAAAATGCATACACCACACCTCTTGGTTCATTCCCTAGAAGAACGATTTACATTCTTTACAATCACCAAAGAAACTGAAAGCCTAAAACAAAATACTACTGGTTTCAAATAAATCAAAAAATGCTGGAAACATTCAGCTGATTAGGTAGCTTTGAAAGAAGAAGAAACTGAGTTCATGGGACATCAGAATTGAAAGGCTGTTGTTATTTGATGAAGTGTCCCCTTAGCAGTAAGGATTCAGCCAAAAACTGGTCAGTCAATTCCTGTTTAAAGTCTCCTACTTTGTAGGCCCCTCATCAGGCCGATCACTTATGTGGTATCACCAAATGTACTGGAATTTTGCAATAAGCATCCAGCTCTCAAGTCCTAATTTGGATACGTGAATCAACAAATAGATCAAATTGTTAGAAGGGATGCAAATTGTTTTGATTAATGGGTTCAGCTGGCAAATGCTGAGAAAATAAGAACCGCAGGAGTTTGTAGGGTGATTTTTTTAAAAGATGCATTCATTCATGATATGTGTGTGTTACTGGGTGGGTCAGCATTTATTGCCTATACCTAGTTGTTCTCAAGAAGGTAGTGGTGAACTGCCTACTTGAACTGCTGCAGTCATAACAGATATCATTTAAGGAACTTTGGTGAATTTCTGCACTGCAGCTTGTAGATGTACACAGCTGCAGCCGCCGAGCATTGGTGATGGAGATGGTGAATGTTTGTGGACACGGTGGCAATCAAATTGACTGCTTTGTTTTGGATAGTATCAAGTTTCTTGTGTGCTGTTGGAGCTGCACTCATCCAGCTGACGTGTGCTTTGTAGATGAGGACAGATTCTGGGGAGTCAGGAGGTGAATTACTCACTGCAGTATTCCAAGCCTCTGACCTGCTCTTGTAGCCATAGTATGTTCATTGCTAGTTCAATTCAGATTCTGGTTAATGTTAACATCCAGGATGATGATAGTGGAGGCCTCAATGATAGAAATGTGATTAAATGTCAGTAGGCAATGGTTAGAGTTTCCCTTTTTGAAGACGACCATTGCCTAGCACTTGCATGGCACAAACATTACTTGCCATGTGTCAGTCCAAACTTGAACATTGTCCAGGTCTTGCTGCATTTGAACATGGACTGCTTCTGTGTGAGGAGTCACGGAAGGTACTGAATATTTAGTAAGCATGAACAAACATCCCCACTTCTGACCTTATGGTGAAGGAAATGTCATTAATAAACGACTAAAGATGGCTGGGCCTAGGACACTAGCCTGAAAAACTTCTACACAGATGTCCTGGAGCTGAACTGACAGACTGCCAATATAATAAAGAAAGGCAATTAGGACAAACTCAGAATAAGATTTAGCTTCATTAAATGAGACCACTCAGTAGTTCAAGGGTGAACTCACAACAGGTTTCTCTCTCTTTGTCATGCATGCCTACCTGACTACACGCTGTCTCTGCATGTTTGTCAGCATGTGAGGCATTATTGTACTTAAATCCAGTATAAGCTATTTTACTACTTACCCCGCTGGCTGTCCGGATGGGTTTTGCTTTCAGTTTTGGTATTAGCACCTTTCTGTACTGAGGGGGCACAGCTGCAATGATGTCCACAAGACGAGGTTGCGAAGTCAGGCCATACTTGGATGAAGTTTTTGTTTTCACTCTTTTTCAAAAAAAAAGAGTGAAGGTCAAACATTAAAAGACAGATAGCAGAAAAACAATAGATAGGAATCTGAAACTAGCAGCACCCAATTCCACTGGAACCTGATCATTCAGTAGCTAGAGGTAGGTATTCCAAAGCTGTCAGACTGGGACTCTAACTTACTGCAGGACACCAACTCACAGTCTGACATCACTGTTAGGAAGAGCATGGGATTCAACTGCCCATTGTTCAATGATCTCCTCATCAGCAATGCTTTCTCTACTGTTACAATTCCTGTTAGTATCAAGAATTCTGGTTCTAAAATCTAGGCTCTCCTCTAAGACCTCTTGAGCATCTCCAATTTTAATTACTCCACTACTGCTAGTCACGTCTTCAACTGCCTGGGTACAAAAGTCTGGAATTCCCTCCTCAGCCCCCTTCCTTTAATATGGTCCTTAAAACCCAACACTGAGCAAGCTTTTGGTCACCTCTACCAATATTTCCTTCTGTGTCTCAGTCTTTATTTCACCTACTTTACATTCCTGTCAAGTGCCTTAGGGTGTTTCACTGCAGTAAAGACGCTATATAGATATGAGTTTTTTGAAATTCATTCACGGGATGAGGGCGTCGCTGGCTAGGCCAGCATTTATTGCCCAGAGGGCGGTTGACTGTCAACCACTTTGCTTTGGGTCTGGAGTCACATGTAGGCCAGAACAGTTATGGATGGCAGTTTCCTTCCCTAAAAGGACATTAGTGAACTCGATGAGCTTTTCCTGACAATTGACATTGGTTTCATGGTCATTGTTAGACTCCTAATTCCAGATTAGCAGTGTGGTGCACGTTATTGTGGTGTACAGGGTACATCCAGGGCTAGATTACTTGCATTGTGCAGCAAGAACACAATTCAAGTTATGAAAATAAATTTAAAAAATAAGCAGCACTGACTAATAAGCACAGATCAGCCATAATCTCAATGAATGGTGGATCAGGCTCGAGGGGCTGAATGGTCTACTGTTGTTCCTACGCAACAATAACCAGGACTGCACAAGAATATCTCAGGCAATCTTGCTACCTTCGGGGTTCAAGACCTGATAGCCCCTCATTCCTGACATCGCCCTTTTGATTCTCTCACCAAATGCCTCAGCATAAATTGGTATGACAAGAGCACTAGATACACCATATAATCTTCATGGACGGGATGGTATCACTCACCCTGGGTACCAGGAATTCAGAACTTTTCTAATAATCAGTCCCTCTGCATGTACTGGATCTATCTGGTATTTTCTAAACCCATGTGTAATATTTCTATCTGAGTTATTCACTGTCCATGTGCAGTAACACTATCTGTTTTAGACCACTCTGTGGTTTAACATTCCACTTTAGACATGGCTACCTGCACTGGACTGAACACTATAAGTAAAGCATCAGTTATAAATATAATTTCCAACAGTGCCTATGTTTTAGTATCAGACAGTAGGAAATAAGAATTAGTACTAGGCATCTGGTCTGGATTTTATATGGCCTGAACCCTTGTGCTTAGGGAGAAACCACTGAAATCAGCACAGGGGAAGGTCAAAGGAGCATCTCCAGTTAGTTGTACAATCAGTTCTGCTATAACAAGTGTTCCGGCAACGCAAATTGGCTATGATGCGACTGACGAATAGGGGATCACTATTTCCGAAACGCAAACTTGTGTTGGCTACAACACAATTCCATCGGTGCGCGGAGGAGTATGCATCGATGTCACTTGATTGTTTTGTGGGCTTTGTCCTGAATACATGCAATGTTAGCGCCTCCCTTAACAAGTCATCTCGACATTTTTCAAGGTAAGATGTTAAATTTACATTTATTTCATTATTAGATATGAATTAAACATTTATTCAAACTGCGCTGTCCTTTGTGTTAGGCTTTTGAGTGATATTTTTTGGTGGTCTGCCCCTAACCCCACTTTTCCCATCGCCTCTGTTATTTCTATAGTGTGATCTTCTATGACGCGATGTTGCACAGGAACACAACTATCGCATCACAGCAGAACCAACTGTAGGCTGGTTCCTCGATGTAGACATGGACCTGGAGTGCACTGTGAAAATAAATAACCTGCTTCAAAATCTACCTCCTGACTTCAAAAATCTGTCTCAAGCAGGTCAGGTCAGGTCCCAAGAGAGCAGACCAGCTGCATTTTTTGGATAATTCTTGATGTTGGTTGCAAATGTGCTATTTGACATGGAGACACTAACCCTAGCTTTGCATTTATTAACAAAACACTACAGGGTGAAACCCAGCCTTAGTTCATTCAATAACATGCATTTACATAGAATATTTAATGTGGAGAAATATCCCTAGTGGTGGAATCGGACAAAAAAAATCAACACTTCAAGTGTGTACACAGTGGAAGAATGTAATAGAATCAGTGTAAAGAAAATGAGCATCCTACTACGCTGGCAGCAAATCACATTACAGTTCTTTTTTGTTTTCATGACAATATTGATGATTCTGACAATATTCATGGCATAGTTCACATTTGGTAATCCAAAGCGATTTCACTTTTTTTTTAAATCAACAGATTTTTATTATCTAATCATTTCAATTGAATAACAAAGCACACGGCATAGACAAAATTGAGCGCTAAAAAGTTTCAACTGCAATGCTGAATTCCAATGATAAAGAAATTGGTTACAGTAGACAGGAAGAATTCTTTGCTCTGACAGGCTGAGTCCAGAATATATTAACCTAACAGTTATGAGCAGAAATAGGCCTCTTAGCCCCATGAGCTTGCTCCATCTTTCAAATAGATCATTACTGATATGACTGTAAACTCAACTGGGGCGGTATGGTGGCTCAGTAGTTAACTATGCTGTCTCACAGCGCCAGGGACCCGGGTTTGATTCCACCCTCGGGCGACTGTGTGTGAAGTCTGCACATTCTCCCCGTATCTGCGTTGGTTTCCTCCAGGCGCTCCGGTTTCCTCCCACAGTCCAAAGATGTGCAGGCTAGGTGAATTGGCCATGCTAAGTTGTCTACAGTGTTCAGGGATGTGTAGATTAGGTGGGTTTATAGGGGAATGGGTCACGGTGGGATGTTCTGTGGGTCGGTGTGGACTTGTTGGGCTGAAGGGCCTGTTTCCACACTGTAGGGATTCTATGAACTCCACATTCTCAGCTCTCCCTGATCACCTTTGTCCTCCTTGTTTACCAAGGATATATCTACCTCAGACTTATAAATAATCCAAATACTCTGCTTCCACTTCCTTTGAGAGGAAGGTCGCTCCAAACACACAAACCCCCAAAAAAGTCTCATCTCTGTCTGAAATGGTCAACACCTCTGCATAAAACAGTGACTCCTGGTTCTAGATTCTCCCATAAGAGAAGACGAACTTTCCACATACACCCTGCAAAAACGCCTCAGGATCTTGTATGTTCCAAATAAGTTGCCTCTTACTCTTCTAAACCCCAAAAGATACAGGTCTAGCCTGTCCAATCTTTGCTCATAAGGCAACAAACCCATTCCTTGTATTAGTTTAATAAACCTTCACTGAATGTCTTCCAAGGAATGGACCAAAATTATATTCAGTTCTCAAGATGAGGTCTCATCAATGTTCTGTATAACGGAAGCATAACGTTCACAATTCTGTATTCTATTCCCCATATGATAAATGATAAAATCCTACTAGCTTTTCTAATTAATTGCGCTATCTGCACACTAGCATTTTGCAATTCATTCACATGGACAGATCCCTCTGCAATTTCTCACCATATGCTTCTTTTGTATTCCTCCTGCCAAAATGGACAATTTTACATTTTCTCACATTATAGTCCATCTGCCAGATATTTATCCATTTACAAAACCTGTCATTATCCTTTTGTAGCCTCCTTAAATCATCTTCACAACTTACTTTCCTACTTTTTTTTGTCATTTAGCAAACTTAGCAACCATACCTTTGGTCCCTAAATCTAAGTTATTTATATAAATTGTTAAAAAAAAAGTTGACACCCCATCACTGATCCCTATGGCACACCACTCAGTGCATCATGATGATGAGAAAATGATCCATTTATGCTTATGCTGTTATTTTTTAGCAAGTGAATCTTCTATTCATGCCAATATGTTATCCCTAACTTCATGAGGTTTTATTTTCCACAATAAACAATAAACTTTGATGTGGCACTTTACCAAATGATGATCAAGGTGGCCTTAGCTTAAAATAACAGCTAGATCGTTTAGGAGTGAAATTAATCAGCAAAACAAAATCTATAACTGTCTCCCTCAATTGAAACCCTCACGCCTGAGAAGGTTAAACAAACCTATTAAGAGTTACAGAACGAAGTGGGGAAATGTAGTGAAGTAACAGATTAGCCAGGATCTAAATAATTTATGGAACTGGCCCAAGGTGCTGAATAAGGAAGTACTGAAGTTTGCACCATATTCCTGCTCCTGCTAGAGACATCTGTGTACAAGCTAATCTTGACAGAAACAAAGTTTCACAACAGTACCATTCAGCATTGGTTCAATCGAATCACGGGGGAAGAGAAACTGACTAAAGGGAGCAGGAGACAATCAAGGTTAGGGAAGCCTACCTGTGCCTTTCCTCACTCACCTATAAATTGGTAAATGAACTGGTCAGATCTGCTCGAAAACATACTCTGGAGGAGGAGTAATTTCCAGATAAAAATCTCATCTGAGTTCTGATGGTTTTACTGCTTGGAAACCTCTATCATAAGCAGTTTAGTGCAAGTACCTACTTGTTAAGGTTAACATCCTTCCCCTGCTCATGAGCTTCAATCAGCTGCTTGAGGACATCGGCAATTGTCATCATCATCCGCTCAGCATGGCTGAACTCCACTGTAAAAGGTCACATGTTAAGGTACTTCACACAGGTGCAATCAGGCAGAAATGTACCAGGAGCTAAAGGATGACATTGCAGGACAGGTAACCAGAAGCCCAGTCAAAAAAGGGTTTATGGAAGAAATATAAGTAGACAGGTTAAAGGTTTTTAGACAGGAAATTCCAGAGCTTACTGTCAAAATAGCTGAAGACAAGGTTGCTGATGAGAGATTAAAGGAATTGTCAAGGAGTGGCGTAAGTGTTTGTGTGTTTGGGGGAGATTATAGGGTGGAGAAAATTACAGAAACAGAGAGAGGCAAGATAATCTGAAAATGAGGTTGAGAATTTTAAACTAGACGGGTTGGTGACATTGCCTCCCAGTCCACCAATCATAAGGGTGATTCGTGAGCAGCACTTGACCGAGGACAGGATACGGAGGTGCCGGTGTTGCACTGGGGTGGACAAGGTCAGAAATCACACAATACCGGGTTACAGTCCAACAGGTTTATTTGAAATGACAAGCTTTTGGAGCCTCACTCCTCCTTCAGGTGTTAGTAAGATAGGTAGTATCAGACAAAGAATTTATAAGTAAAAGATAACAGGGTCACACCACTGATGAGGATGTATTAAACAAACGTAAGATGATGTTAAATCTTTAATCAGTTAGCATGTTTTAATTGATTAATATGTATATATACATCCGCCAATTGCTTTGTACTTTACTTCTCTCAGGACTCTGACTTCAAAGGAATTTGGGAATTTACTTCCTCTCTCACTAACACCTGAAGGAGGAGTGAGGCTCCAAAAGCTTGTGTTTTCAAACAAACCTGTCGGACTATAACCTGGCGCCGTGTGATTTCTGACTGAGGACAAGATAGGAACCAGATAACCAAACTTTATCCAAGGTTGAAGATGGGAGGCTAGTGAGAAGAACACTGGAATAGTCAGGTCTGGTGAACATAATAGCACACGAGGGTTCAATAGCAAATGAGCTGAGCTGGGTGTAGAGTTTGATGATGTTATGCAATTGGAAATAGGCAGTCTTTGCCAGGGGAAGATATATGGAGTTGGAAATAGCCTGATTTTATAGGGTGGGAAGGAAGATTGCACATGGATTCATCAACCTGACAAGGACTGGATAAGGGCATGGAATTGATTATAAAGGGTACGGTTATTTTGAGTGAACTGAAGTCAAGGCTTGGTCTGCATGCAGATAAGGAAGAGTCCAATGCCAAAAGTTGGGAAAGTCTGAAAGTTAAGCGTAGTTGCGGGAACAGAAGTTATTGTTCAGTGCTGTGGCTACAAATGCACAGTGGAACAAGTAAAGGCAGTCCCTCTGGGCCAGACTGAAGAAGACAGGCACTGGCAACAACTGTTTGGTCTACAATGTTAATGGCTGGAGACAGACTAGGATGGATAAGGAGTAATGATATACCACATCCATACTTAGAGGGAAAAAAAACTGCATTTATATTGCATTTTTCAAGACCACTCAGGACATTGCAAAATCATTCAGTGTCAATGTAATACTTTAATAATGCAGTCACTAATGTTTTGGGGAAGCACAAGGAGTAACCTGCACACAGCAAGCTCCCATAAACAACTATGAAAATAAACGACCAGCTCATCTGTTTGACGGATTGGTTGAAATATAAATATTGGCCAGGACATTGAGGAAAACTTAGCTGCTTCTCTTGATAATCATGCTGTGGAATCTATTACATCCACTAGAGGGAGAAATGGGTTTTAACGTTACTGTGAAAAAGCATCTCTACAAGTTCCTTTGAAACTTCTTTGAAGTGTCATATGTGATTTCGGTAAGAGCTCTTTGAAGTTAGAACAGATCCAAAGACTCAGTTTGAAGGTTGGACAGCAATAGACAAGGAGAGATGTGCAAGGTGCTACTTTTTTGCAGAAATGGATAACTGTTTATTTTTAAAGTAACAACATTAAACCTTAAGATGCTTCAGTGAGTGAGAAAGCAAGGAGTCCATAATCTCATTTGTTAGAGTGGAGGGGAGAAAGAGAGGCAGGGGTTATCTTTACGGTCTAAAAGCATTTTGTATGCTCCAGCCATACCTGATAATAGATGGCTAATATGTTTGAATGCATGTAGCATAAGATCATCAATGAATTAATGGCACAAGTCTCGTAGCCATTACTGAGGCATGGTTGCAGGGACTAAATATTCTGGGAAACTTGATTTTCACACAAGATAGTCAAAATGGAAAAGAGGAGTTACGCTACTAAGACAGAAAGAGATTAAAACAGTAGAGAGGAAGGCTTAAAATCAGTATCGGTGTAATTAGGAAATAAAGCACAAGAAACATTGGTGGGAGTAGTTTTGTGTAGTTCCCCAACACAGCACTTTCCAAACCAAGAGCTGTAGCCCCCCCCACTGGGTTTGCAGAAACAATGGATAGGATTGTAAGTGCTTCCTCCTCCGAGATTATGCCCCCACACCTACAAACATGCCCATTGGTTAAAGGATCACAAAATAGAAAACATTACTTTAAGATGATTGGCAAAAGAAACAACAGCAGCATGAGGAAGAACATTTTGTTACCTCAGCAACTGATTAATATCTGGAATGCACAACGTGACAGTGTGGTAGCAGCAGGCTTAATCGTAGCTTTCATATGAGAGCCACAGTCGTTCTCCCTTACAAATGGAAACATCATCTCTATATCTAGCCTATCAAACTGGTTCATAATTTAAGGACCTCTGTCAGGTCAGCCCTCACCTTCTCTTCCCTAAATGAAAAAACCCAATCCTGTTCAGTCTTTCCTCATAGTTGTAACCTCTCTCGCTCCCCTTTCTATCCTTCCAATAGCATCTATACACTGGAATATTAAGCTGCCAGTCTTGTCCATCCCTAAATCACATCTCTGTAACTGCTAATGATATCCCAGACCCATATCCTCAACCATGCCCCAAGTTCATCTGCCAAACATGTTAGACTTCTTGCACTGAAATAAATACAGTTTAATTTATCATTCCTACCTCATTCTCTGCTTTGTTCCTGACTGTTTGACTTGCTCCTTTCCCAATTGTATCAGTCTCAGAGTGCTCTTTCCTCACTATCTCACTGGGTCCCAATCCCACTCTCTACACTTACTAGTTTAAATCCTCCCGAGCAACTCCAGCAAATCTCCCTGCCAATATATATTAGTCTCCTTCCAATTCAGTTGCACTCCGTCCTTCTCATACAGGTCACTTCTGCCCCAGAAAAGACTCCAAAGATTCAAAAATGTGAATCCTTCTCACCTGTACCAGCTCCACAGCCACGCATTCATCTGTTCTATCCTCCTATTCCTACCCCCACTAGCTTGTGGCACTGGGAGTAATCCATATCTCATTACCCTCAAGGACCTTCTTTTTAAATTCCGCCTAACTTTCTATATTCCCTCCTCAGAATCTTGTCCTTATCTCTTCATATGTCATTAGTTCCAATGTATACAACAATCTCCTTCTGGTCCCTCTCCCCTTTGAGAATATTCTGTACCCTCTCCGAGATATCTTTGATCTTGGCACCAGGGAGCCAACACACCATTTTGATGTTTTGCTGTCAGCTGCAGAAACGTCTGTCTGTGCCTCTGACTAGAGTTCCCTATCACAATCGACTGCTTGGAATCTGGCATACCCCTCGTTATATTACAGCCAGTCTCGGTACCAGAAACCTGGCTATCAGTACTACATTCCCCTGAGAGTCCATCGCCTCCAACGTTTTCCACAGGTGGATGTGATTTAAATGGACTTCAGGAAGGCATTTGACAGGGTTGCTCATGGTAAACTGGTTAGCAAGGTCTGATAACACAGAATACCTACTTGGATACAGTATTGGCTCAAAGGTAGAAGACAGAGGGTGATGGTACAGGGTTACTTTTCAGACTGGAGGCCTGTGACCAGCAGTGTGCCACAAGGATCAGTGCTGGGTCCACTGCTTTTTGTCATTTATATAAATAACTTGGATGTGAACATAGGAGGTATGGTTAGTAAGTTTGCAAATGGCACTAAAATTGGAGGTGTAGTGGTCAGTGAAGAAGGTTAACAGAGTACAACAGGATCTTGATCAGATGGGCCAATGGGCTGAGGAGTGGCAGATGGAATTTAATTTATATAAATGTGAGGTGCTGCATTTTGGAAAGACAAATCAGGGCAGGACTTATACACTTAATGGTAAGGTCCTGGGAAGCATCACTGAATAAAGAGACCTTGGCGTGTCGGCTCATTGTTTGTTGAAAGTGGAGTTACAGGTAGATAGGATAGTGAAGAAAGCATTTGGTATGCTTGCCTTTATTGGTCAGTGCATTGAGTATAGGAGTTGGGAGAGAATGTTGCCACTGTACAGGACACTGGTTAGACCACTATTGGAATATTGCATACAATTCTGGTCTCCCTGCTATAGGAAGGATGTTGTGAAACTAGAAAGGGTTCAGAAAAGATTTATAAGGATATTGCCAGCATAGAAGGGTTTGAGGCTGAACAGACTAGGTCTATTTTCCCTGGTGCATCAGACGCTGAGGGGTGACCTTATAGATGTTTATAAAATCATGTGGGTCATGAATAAGGTGAATAGGCAAGGTCTTTTCCCCTGTGTGGGGGAGTCCAAAACTAGAGAGCATAGGTTAAAGGCGAGAGGGAAAGATATAAAAGGGACAACTTTTTCCACACAGAGTGTGGTGCGTGTATGGAATGAACTGCCAGAGGAAGTGGTGGAGGCGGGTACAACTACAACATTTAAAAGGGATGGGTATATAGATAGGAAGGGTTCAGAGGGATATGGGCCAAATGGGACTAGATTTATACAGGATATCTGGTCAGCATGGACGAGTTGGTCCGAAAGGTCTGTTTCAGGACTCTATGACTCTCAATTCTGCAATTACTGTCGTGAGTCCTTCTTTCTACGAACCGCCCAGAATCACCATATCTTTTCTATAACACGGACACGAAAAGTTGACATTGCAAACGTTGTATTTCAGCTGCTCGTTCCAACTGATGGGAATTAGCAGCAGGAACGGTGAAGGTGCTTTGGACACGTTTGCTTGTTCGTTAGTATTATTGGAGATTTAGCGTCTCCTGACGGTGGGGCGGGGCGGGGCGGGTGGTTTGTCTCGTACAGCTCCCAGAAATAAATTAACAATCTGGAAGTGAGAAACACTTCAGAATAAACTAACGAACCGACCTTTCCGGCGCGGCTTCCCCATGCTTCAACACTAAAGCAGCTGCCAGAAGTCAGGTGCTCATTGTACGGCACTGACGTAACATCAGCGGTAAAGTGTCGCAAAACGGATTCGCCGTTAAGGGTGGAGCGGCCATAGGTCACGTGACCAGACGGACACCTCACGGCGGGGCTAGTTTCCGGAACTATGGCAACGAGATTAGGGACTTCCCGGGGGCGGGGGATTTGAAGAGTGTGAGACTGAACTAGCTCCAAAGCTTATGTCTTTCCTTTGTCCATATAACTTTTAATCAACCTGTTCAGGGATGTCATTACACATCTCTGGAATCAGAGATAATACAGTGTGGAGATGGATGAACGCAGCAGGCCAGGCAGCATCAGAGAAGCAGGAAAGTTGACGTTTCGGGTCGGGATCCTTCTTCAGAAATGGGGGAGGGGAAGGGAGCTGAGAAATAAATAGAGGAGGGGTGGGGCTGGGGAAGGTAGGTGGGATGGTGATAGGTGAGTGCAGGTAGGCAGTGGTGGGAATTGGTCAGTGAGGTGGGCGTGGCGGATAGGTGGGAGAGAAGATGGACAGGTTGTGTCAGGTCAAGGAGGTGGGGATGAGAGGGAGGATTGGTCATGGAATGAGGCCAGGGATGGGGAGATTTTGAAACTGGCAAAATCCACATCTAGGCCATTGGGCTGTAGGCTCCCAAGGTGGAATATGAGGTGCTGCTCCTCCAGTTTCTGGATGGCGTCATTGTGACACTGGAGGAGGCCCACGATGGACTGTGATCCAGGGAATGGGAGGGGGAGTTGAATGGTGTTGTTATTTATCATGAACAGAGCGCAGTTGCTCTACAAAGTGGGCTCCGAGCCTCCGCTTGGTCTCACCGATGTAGAGGAGGCCACATCCGGAGCAGTGGCTGCAGTAGACCACATTAGCGGATGTGCAGGTGAACCTCTGTCTGATGTGGAAGGTTTGTTTGGTGCCTTGGATGGAGGTGAGGTGGAGGTGTAGGGGCAGGTGTAGCACTTCCTGCAGTTGCAGGGAAAGGTGCCAGGGGTGGTGGGGGTAGTGGGGAGTGTGGAGCGGACGAGGGAGTCACGGAGAGAGCGGTCCCTCTGGAAGGCAGATTGGGGTGGGGAGGGAATTATATCTTTGGTTTTGGGGTCGGATTGTAGGTGGCGGAAAATGGTACGCTGGATGCGGAGGTTAGTGAGGTGGTATGTGACGACCAGAGGGATGCTGTCTTTATTTTTGCTGAGTGGAGGGGACTTGAGGTCGGAAGTGCAAGAGATGCAGTTTGAGGGCATTTTTGATCACCTGAGGGGTATCTTCCTGTCCTTGAAATAGGAGGCTATTTGAGATGTCTGGGAGTGGAATGCTCCATCTTGGTAGCAGATATGGGGGAGGCGGAGGAATTGGGAGAAAGGGATCACATCCTCGCAGGAGGGTGGGTGAGAGGAGGTGTAGTCCACGGTCGCTATAGGAGTCGGTGGATTTAAAATAGATGCCGGATTATTACACTCTTGGAACTAGTTGGTGGCCACTTGGGACTTGGTGGAGCACCCTGACCCACTTTGGGATCATCCTTGTTATAATTGGAGTTTGTGTTCTAGCGACCCGCCTAATATACGCCATCCTCCCCTGGGGGTGACAAAACCCTGTTCCCATGTTTCCCCGTTACATAGCCAACAGTCCTGATTATGATGAGAAAAAATGCTTGAGCATGAGACCTTTTCCCCTGGGATACAACCCTCCGTTTGCAGAGGAACACTCGTGAAGTTGATCTAGGGATCAAAAAGGAGGGAATTGTGGAATAATTGTATGTCGAGACTGTTTAATTTAGGTTGAGTAGTAATTATGAGGTTGGTTGTCTCGCCGAGCTGATTTGTTGTTTCGCAGATGTTTCGTTACCAGGCTGGGTAACATCCTCAGTGCAGTCGGTACATTGGACAAACAGGAAGGAAACTAACAACAAAGGTACACGAACACCAACTGGCCACAAAAAGACATGACCAATACTTACTCATCTCAATCCACACGGACAAGGAGAACCACCAATTCGACTGGGACAACACCAAAACCCTGGGACAAGCTAAGCAGAGACAGGCACGGGAATTCCTAGAAGCCTGGCACTCCACGAAGCATGTTATTAATAAACACATAGAACTCGACCCATATACACTCCACTATGAAGGAAAACCAGAAGTGAGGCAATCCAGCTCAACGGACTCCAGAGTTTAAAAACCAGGCGGGAAAACACACCGATGCTTCATCAGAGGCTGCACTGAGGATGTTACCCAGCATGGTAACGAAACGTCTGCGAAATAACAAACCAGCTCGGCGAGCCAACCAACCTCAACACCCATAACCCGAGCTACAAATCTACTCCAAAACCTGAGTAGTAATGAGTTGAAATAATACATGACTAGGAGCACAAAGTAAAGAAATTGTAGCTTTATGAAACAGTGCATATTGCTGTAACTGCACCCTGCTTTCCTTAGCCTGAGAAGTCACGTAGGATAGATACCAAAAAGCTAGAGCTCGCAGCATCTGTCCACTCTTATCTTCACCACATTCTGCTTTAATTAATGTACATCTGGTTGACTAATTAATGACCTTGCCTTGCTAGAAGCCAGTACAATTGCAGTTTGTTTAACTTGTTTGTACCGCTGTATAAGTTCTGCTTCTTTTTTATGCTTGTCGGAGTCTTTGGACCTGACCTTTTGTCAGCATTGACTCTCCGTGATTTCACGAAGAAAATCTCTTTGCTTCGAAGTCTGGACCACTGGTGAGTAATTAATTTAGTCTCTTTGACAATCTGGTGTAGTTGGCAGGGTCCCTATATATATACAATATATGTGTATATATACGGGATCCGAACAAATTGATAAAAAGGGAAGTGAGAGTGGGATTCGAGTTTCCCCAGCCAGTCACCCACGTTGAGCCACCCTGATCCAATCTCTGGGACACCGGAGAGACGGGACAGGCAAGACCACGTGTGAAAGACAGAAACTCATTGAGAAATCCTCAAGTTTATTATACATGAACTATTAAGACAAAAGAAAGAGTCAAGGAGACTTCGAGGACTGAGGTATAAAAAGATCTCGGGGTTGGGAAAGGCTGAATCAGAACACAGGAATACAATGAGTTAAGATACGTAACTATAAAGTATTAACATTCATTTGAATTCAGAGTTTGATCCCTTGGTAAGTGGGAATTGCTAAAACAATGGGCAGCAGAATGGGAAAGGAAGTCAAGAAGCCCGAGGAGGAAGAGTTCCCCATGAAGATGAAAAAGAACACCATAAAGAAGATCAAGAAAATCGAAAAACAAAGAAAGATGCTTGTGGACCCATTGGTCCCTCCAGGATCACCCGCCAATAAGGTTTGGCTAGAAACCGGAGACAGCAAGTACTCTGTTACGTTTTCCAGTGATTTGTATGGATGATCTCACGGGGATTGGCCTTATGGAGGTACATTCAACTTGAAAAAGATACAATTTTGGAAACATGAGACAGAAGCGGGAAACGGGGATCCCAATTGGGCTTATAATTATATGATTTCGTGCTTTAATAAATGGTTGGAGGTGGCGAAACGTCATCAGCTTCCAAAATTCAAGAAAGACAAAAGCAATGAGATCGAAAAGGATAATAAGGCCAGTGCCCCTGCTGCAGGAATATACCCAAAATTAGAACAGGGTGATGAAAACAAAGATCAGGCTACGGATGACATTCTGTTGGCAGCTGCCCTCAGGGACCATCCGCCTCCTTATAATGACCATTTGTCTAGTGACCAACAACCTCCGCAGCTTCCTGAAACAGGGGCCTCTTCATCCCCGTCCAGTACTTCGGGCATAGAAGGGGTCCAGATGAGGAGTAGGGCCGCCACAAGGTGGGATTGCACTCCTGACAGTGGCTCTGATGTACCCATTAGTAGAATGGTTAAACAATATCCCCGTATAATGGTAGAAGTAGCTATTTTGCAACCCTGGACCCCACTGGAGGTTCGAAGTATGATAAATGAGGCCCTGAATCCTCTGAAAAATCCTATTCCGTTCCACAATTGGCTGGTCCAAACATGTCAGATTTATAACTCACTGCCCGGGGACGTTCTACTGTTATTAAAAGTTGCATATGGGACCTCCTGGCCCGCGGTCAAAGACTCATTTGCCGTTTCTCCGGGCCACAACAGTGATTGGGCCCCTGACGATAACAACCAGGACCACGGGAAGTGGAGTAGTGATACCTGGCTCTGGACATGAGCCTAAGGGGCCATCACTAATGGGGCCAGACAGCATAGTGATTTTGGGGAAGTGACCAGATGTATCCAGAAAAAGGGTGAGCAGTTAACAGACTTCAGTGCTAGATTTAAGGATACTTGGGAATCCTCAGCTGGTGTGGCACTTGAGCAGCACGGACCCCTAGCCATACAAACTCTTTTAAATTGCCTTGATCCGAGTATTGCACGTGCCTTTAAATTGGCTAACCTGACTTGGCAGCAGCAGAGATGGAATGAGATTATTACATCTCTGACCAACATGGATGGGCAAGGCTTGATTACTAAAAGATCAAGTGAACTTAAAGGCCAGTTTGTCCAGCAATTTAGATCTGGAGGCAACAGAGGTAGCCAACGAAAGCCCCATAATGGTGAGCGTGGTCAGAGAGGGCAGGGAAGTGACAGAGAGCAGGATGTCTGCTGGCAATGCGGGCAGAAAGGCCATTGGGCCAGGGACTGCCGCAGCAGTGGGGGAAGAGGCTTCCAGAGTAGACCAAAAAAAGAGTGTCCCTTTTTTGCTCAACAACCCTTTCCCTCAGGGACAATGGGGGTGCCACGGAGGGGTGGCAATACATGCTGTGATGATCAGATTATCCTCTTCTCCCCAGGAGGACCCAATAGCAGAAATAGAAATAAAGGGGAGACGAGCAAACTTTCTAATTGATTCTGGCGCGATGATTTCGTCTGTGTCCCCCTCTGTGGAATTACCCTGTAGTCCTAAAACGATTTCTACTGTAGGTGTAGCTGGAATACCTATGGTTGAGCCCCTGTCCCATCCCGTGCCTACACAAATTGGAGATCATAGTGTGCGCGAGACCTTTGTTATTGCCAAACATTCCCCAGTGAGCTTATTT